CAACTTATGGCCCTACATAAGATACTTTCTAACACACATGTTTGATCCCTCTCCTTGTCATTAAAGATTCTAGCATTTCGTTCCTCCCACACGGTCCACACCAAAGCAGCTCTAACACACCTCCACAAAACTCTTCCTCTTCTCTTTGGCCACCTGAAAGTTGTAGGGTCAAAAAGATTGCAAATCTGCACCGGTTCTGTCCACCTGCACCCAAAAAGATGTAGGGGCTTGATAGTTGGATCATTCAGTCTAGAAGTCTAAAGACCTAGGAATCTTCCACATGGAAAGACAATTGTTCCTCTTGCCACCATATTCATGGGGCAGATATCAGCTTGAGATCCATAGATATGTGGTCAAAATCATGGTTTTTAAAACCGAACCGGTCAGGGGTCCGGTTACCGGTCCGAACGGTCCGACTGTTCGACCTGAACGACCGACCCGTTCTGACAAAAAATAAAAAATAAAAAAAATAAAAAAATTGAAAAACGGTCAAAACCGTTTGAACAGTTCGAACGGTTCAGCGGTTTTCTGACCAAAATCAACAGTTTTGGGGAAAAAACGACTTTGGGGAAAAATGGAACTGGTCAGGTGACCGGTTCCCGGTTTTTCCGGTCCGACCGTCCGGTCTGGTCCGGTTTTGAAAACCATGGTCAAAATAAGTACTGTTGAAGTTATCTTTTAATTTAAAATTCTCAAATCCTTCCAAGGAGATTGGTAAATTCATGTGGAGGTGTACCAGGGCTTCCATCCTTTTGTCTGTTTGGGAGGAGAGGAATGCAAGGATTTTCAATGGGAAGACATTGCCCAAGGAAGCAACCATAGAAAATACTTCAGTAAGAGCAGTGCATTGGATTAAAACTTAGATGGTGGAATGTCATGGCCCACACATGGTCAACTAGAACCAACTTTCAAAGGGAGTGGACACCACCAGCTGTAAATCAAGTTAAGCTCAATTTTGATGGATGCTGCTTGGGAAATCCAGGCAATTCAAGCATTGGAGGCATTTTTAGGAATTGCCATGAGCTAGGGGCTTCCAAAAAGGACTTGGGTGGAAGTATTAGAAATGATTTAAACACCCATAATTTAATGATGGATGTAGCACTGAACAGAAAGGAATGACAAAATAGGATTCATACAACCCCATATAATTGAGACAAGCCTTAGATAATGATGATGATTATGCCATGGGGCTGTAGTGGCTATCTATTTGGGTCCAATAGGGTTTTGGGACTTGAGAAGAAATGATGGCTGTGTTACAAGGTCTAAGGTTGGGTAAAAGGTTAAATTGAGATACTTAGTGGTGGAAGGAGAATCTAGAGTTGTGGTAGGATGGCTAAAGAAGGACAGTCGAGGAAAATATCTATTACAGGCATCATTATCATCATCCAAGCTTTATCACAACTATTACAGGCATATCCTAAGGGAAATCAAACAACTGGCAATGAAATTGGAAGTATCAGTAATCCGGTTACCTAGATCTGCAAATAATTTGACCAATTCACTTGCAGTCTTGCAAGACAAGGGGTCAGTATGGGACAATGAGGAGAGGGGTTAAGTAGTGAAGATCAGCCTTACGAAGAGGCAAATGTCATTGTACATAATATTCTTTTTCATTAATAGTGGTGCAACTTGGGTTGGTCCAATTAACATTTTAAACTGCTTTTGACTTGGGCCTAGGGAGTGGGCCCATTCAAATTTTGACAAAAGCCTAATCCAAGCCCACCTAAGTTGCACTCCAATTAGTCTTGGTAAGGTTACATTCTTAACAATAAAAAATCTTTTAATGAATTTTTTAGAACTCTGAGCCGCTTCTGTCACTCGGGGAAATCTGCAAGATGGGGTATGAGGCTGGTGTGAACTCGGAAAGTAAACAAATGAATGGTTTACAGTAGTACTTCATATAGCAGAAATAGGGTGGTTGCATAAACAGGAAATATTTTTTCCATACATTATTATATACTCACTTTAGTATTACTTTTTATTCTGAAAAGTTCTGTTACTCTTAAGGAAACAACATAGCTTCAATTGTTTAATAACTTGAGTGTAAATTGCTTGATCTAATTGTCATTTATAAATTATAACCTTGTTTTTTTTTTGGGTACCTGCAAAACAATTTCTTTATTCATCATTGCCTTAGCTCTATCCCAACTATTTGACATTCTCTGCATAAATATTGTTCTATCTGTAAATGCAGCCAACTATTTTGTGCATATTACTGATCAAATGCAGTTGACTTTTGCTTTTTTGCATGGTTCTTGTTTTTATTTCATGAAATCTTCTAGTTACTATGACCTGCTCCTGAAGAAATACCAAGAACTTGCCACAGAGCAGAAGTGGAAACAACCCCTCCTTGGTATGCATCCTAGCCTGTTGCTTGTCTTATTCTTTGCTAATGTAATGTGTGGTATGTTATTTCGGCTTATCCTAATTAAAATTTGAGATACTGCTTTGAATTTAATCTTTACAAATAAAAATGGCATGTTTTGAATTTCTTTCTTTTGATGCTTTACTGCAGTGGGACTCTCATACTCGGTGCAAATAATGGATGAGGGAGTCATTCCTGTCACTCCCAATGATGTTCCTGTGGATGCCCTTGTCTCTCCGGATGGAGTGATACCCATTAGTTTGAGAGCCTTCGAGAGAATGACAGAGTGATGGTTCACCAATTCATCTCTTTCTTCTCATTAGGGTTCTTACGGTGGACTTCTAAAAAAATACAATAATTTTATCTGTAACAGTTAGAAGCAAGAATTTTGAACATTCTAAACTAATCAATTCTAAAATTCTTTAGAAACGAACATGCCCGAGTACAAAATCTTGGAATATAGAACTTTTTTGTTACCTGGTGGTGAGTATTATAGACTAACCCGAGAAAAAGATTAGCCCTTTTGAAGATGCAAGGCAGTGAAATTCACAAACTGGTCCCTCATGGACAGACAAGGACTGATGTCAACTCAATTAATTAGAATGATGCTGGACGAGGGGCTATTGCTTGGTGCAATGATAAAATCCTTGGCTGACAAGTGTGAGAATGCAGGTTCGAGTCTGAGAGTGGTCACTTGGTGCAAAACCCCCCCAAAGGTTAGGTTGCTGTTTATCCCAGTTCATCCCTGTCAAGACCCCCCCACTTAGCCGTGATCAACATTGGGAAATGGACTAAAGGCAAAATTCATTCAATAGTGCTCAAATTACAATCCACGATAATACTACCAACCAGAAAGGCCGAACAAATTGATTGATTGATAATAGGAGACAGAGAATAAGCCACAAGAAGTGCCAGACCAACTGCTGAACAAGAAGTATGTAACACTGAGCACTGGGACAAAACAGCTCATCAGACCTCTGCAAGTGGTGATGAGAGTGGGTATGCTGATAAAATGGATATGTTGAACTTCGAATAAGAAGGGTTTTCTGTCTTGAATTATATTCTTTTGAATTAGTATAGGTTCATCCTATACCTGTTGGACAATATAAATTGCGGTCCAAAAAATTCATGGTCATAACATCATGTTGCCCAAAGTCGTCCCTACTCCCTCTTCCTATTTCTTCTTTATGGGCCAGTGAAAACGGGGAAAAGTAGAGTAATTATAATTTCATGCTTATTCTTCTGTATGAGCTAAAGTTACCGTAATTTCAAACATAGAAACTAGAGTTTCCTTGGTAGAGAATTCTACAGGGGGATAGGATCATTTTTCAAAATTGTAAACAGGCTCTGAAAAGATGCCTCAGATAAAACTTTTTTTGTGTGAATGCAAGCTCTAGCTCGCTGTTACAATTATACTCTGATCTTGATCTTGTACAGAGAATTTTGGGTGCAACCCAATTATGTGCACAAGTCAAGGACTGGTAGAATGCCTTGGAAGTGAAATAAATGATATTAGTTTCCCCTAATGCTTACATAGTCTACAGCCAAGACTATGTTCTGTACTCTTAAGAATCCCATCCAAGGACAGTATAGCATCAATGGAATGGAAATGGTGATTACTGATAACCTTGAAAGTTTGTTAAATGTGATTATAGCATTAAAGGCTCTTGCCAATAAAAACAAAAATTGCAGTCCCAGAGCCTCACTCAACTAAATCAATTCCTTAATTGAATTGAATAAAACGAATCAGATCTACTAGTTGTTGCTGCTGTTTTTTGTCAACGTTTATATGATGGATAAAGAAAATTAACACTTGAACAGCATTTATGTTTTTTTCAAATGTTACTTAACGACTAATTAATAATGAGGTAATGGATTGTTATGTTTTAAAAGTTTGGAGATTAAACTAGCACTAGGCCCGAATTTTCTCAAAAAAAAATAATAATAACATTATGAACTAGACTGTGATCTTACCAAAAAAAAAAAAAAGAAAAGAACTAGACTGAGATTCATGCCGTATAAACCATAGGGGAAAACATCAGCTTCATCGTAGCATTCACTTTGTCTTTTTTTTTTTCTTTTTCTTTTTTTTCTACCCATTTCTGTCAATGTTTCATGGGAATTGGGAACGGATCTCGATGCTCAAAGATTTTTTTTTTTTTTTTCTTTTCTCCCTCCGTCCCTCGAATGAAAGAGATTTTTCTTACACGGGAGAATGAGAGTTTGGAGTTTGGACAAGAAGTTCGAAAAGTCCATACCACGTGAAAAGAGGCATCTTCTCTTTTTTCTCTTGATGCTTCAAATTTCGAAGTGTAGGTACTCATGAGATGCTTGAGAAAATTGATTGATAATGACATGTGCTTGATCCATTTCATAGTAACACAACTTAAAAAGCATTAACCTAAGTTGTTTGCTTTTGTTTGTTTGGATAGCTCAAGCCGATTCTAATTCTAATCCTTTGAGCTGGTTTAGTAAACAAATATGATTAGGCTAATTTCCACTGAGACAATCTTAAGTTAAGCATATTCCTCCTTTAATTGAATTCTTTGAGTTTGACATGTGGGAAGAATATAATGGCACAGGAACTACAATGCATCATGCATGTACCTCCTCATCTGTCTGTTTCCTTTGATGCCCAACCCATTTTTTGACCACCTCAGATTGGAATCTACCAAAGACAGATACTCCTTGTTTGTTTTTAATTTTTATAGATGTCCCATCTCTCATCTCACACGTCACACCAATATTTCCTCTTACATGCATGAATTCTCCCCTTGTTGAATTTTCAATCCCTGGGAAAATTCCAAAACGTGCATGACCACTCTAATAAATTGATTACCACCTGAAATTCTGCAATCTCTATTTCTTTATTCAAATCTCGTAGGACAAATTACAGATTCTTAACAATGGAAAAGGCATATGGACTATTGGAATTTCCTCTAGGACTTTTGTTTTTCTATAATAAAAAAAGGTATATTGCAAAGCATTTGTGAATTATTTGTATAATCCAGTTGGTATGGTTATATACAAAAGTCTAATATTAGTATGTAGAGTGAGCTAAAAGATATAAAGTATACATTTGAGAAAAAAAAATGATCCAACATATAAAATAGTGTCGGTTACTACAATAAATTAGGTTATATATCAGTGGATCAGGTTAAGTGGTCAATTTACACTCACCCCACCCCATCCTATCGGGTTAGGGTCGGGCCAGATTTAATAATCGGATTTGAACTGAGATGAATATGTTGTGACCATTCAGTGACCATTGCAGCACTGAAACATTTGTATTTATAGATTTGATTAAGTATAGATATATGATATGCAGCAGGTAAGGTTGGACTCCGGTTGAGCCAAACCCGAACAGTTGATGTATATCCCTATACACATATAGCTGATATGACATTATATCAGACAAAAGCCATTGTTGAGTTGAAGTAAGCTTATACATTAGAAATGTTGAACATTAGCAATAAATATGGGCTAAAGCCCATATGGTGTTTAAGGAAGATAAATCAAGATCCACCATTCAGTGGGTCCAACCTTACGAGGGTGAACACCAACCATGATTCGTAACCCAAATGGTCCAGCATTCCTACCAAGTTTGATCAATGACCACTCTTTAGGGTGTAGGGACCAGGAAGTGGACATGCTGCTTTGTCTGGGAGGGCCTTAAGGGCCCAGTAGTTGCACTCAATCAAAGCAAGCTGCAAGCTGCGCTTTTTCCCGTTTTTCGCATAAACAGACAATCTCTATTAGTTCATCCATAGCTTTGATGGTGTGATTTTGACCTGTTCATGGGTCGGGTTTGAACTGAACTTTGCCCCTTTATTAATACAAAATTTCGAGGCTGATGCCTGAATTCAAAACCTGGTCTGAATGAGAACAAACAAATTTTTTTTATAAAACGAATATTTATTTTGATTTTGATGCAGGTCAAAAATTAAATTTAATTCTATAGTTTTTGTTGATGCTTGGCCGAGGCAAGTCATTCCTTTGGATGTTGTAGAAGCTGAGGGCTAGTATTGAGAAGGGTGTTCGAGGGAGGACGAGATATTGTTCCCACTGTAGTGAATCTGCGAGGAAGAAAGTATTAGATGCCTCGGGTGACTACCCGAGGCAAGGACTCCGACAATCAAGTCAATATATGCACTAGGTAAGTGATGAGCCTGGAACCAAAGAGTCTAAACGAGGTCTCAAGTAGAACTAGGTCCTTAGAGGAAAAAGTACTAAAGATCCAAAAGTTTCGGATCCTTTACTTTGTGGGGGTGCCTTGCATTTATAGATAGAGCAGCCAGGGGGTAATTATGCTCAGATGATCCAGATGTGAGCCGTACAAAGGCCTGGCGAGATGTTCTACTAGTATCACACGACCCCCTGTGACTGAGGCTGCCTGATCCACATCAGGTAACCCTGAGCATTCTCATGGTAAGCCTATGCAGGCATCTTCCATTTAACACAATTCAATCCTGCACAGGCCAACCGAATGCACCTACGTCAATCTTAAATTATATTTTTACTCTTTATATATATATATATATATATATATTATTAAGAATAATAAATTAATAATATTATTATGGTGTTGGATTTGACGTCATGGTGGGCTTATTAATAAACAGGCCTGATTGATAGTTATAGCTGGAACCCACCAGGTTACCCAACCCATGAATACTGTCCACATGTTACCCTTTATTGAACGACACCCTTATCGGCTTATCGTATTAAGGACATGTCCATGGAAGTGGACCAGATGTACCATAATTTCAAACTGACATTTTGAAAATTTTGTCTGTACATGACAGAAATGTCCTTTGCGCTCTCAGTAGTCAGTACTATTGAAAAAAAAAAAAAATAGAGATAAATGATACAGTTTCCATGTGATAATTTTAGTGGTAGGAATAATGCTTATACACCGACAGCCCTTTCATGAAGTAAAATTAAGGGCCTGTTTGGTTTGTTGCTAGAATTGGAATTGAAATTAAAATTCTTTAGAATTGGAATCAGAATAATTTATTCCTATAATTATAAGAACAAAAATGAGAATTGAAATTAGTAAGAACGAGAATTTATTGGGAGAATGATGGTTCAGCTCAGGGTCAATTTTTAGGCCCAAAGTATAGTTGGAGTGGGTACCGGCTCGGAATTGATGCCAATTCATGGCCGGGCATTAATGTATAGAGTGTGGATTTTTGATATTTTAAATGTTTATAGCTCTGCAGTGGAAATCAGAAATCTGCATTGGGGTCTGTTCTTACTTCTCTGGATTTTATTTTGAAGGGAAGAGCAGAGAATGACCATTCCATCAAATGGAAAAATGTCATTTCAATAAGAATGAAAATAGAATTTCAATTCTGTCCAACCAAACAGTTAGAACCAGAATAGCCATTCCGATTCTACTTCCAGACTCTTATTCCTGGGAACCAAATGGGGCCTAAGCTCCATTTGTTGTTTTCTCAACTTTGAATGATGGATTAAGATCACTAAAGATGACCCCCCCACATAAAGGATTTCCAGATTGGTATCCCTCCCACCGGACCAAAAATAGGACATCCGCATGTGTGCAACAGTGTTTGTTTTCAATGTGAGTTGTAAAATGGGCGAAGGGTGGGTTTTATTTCCACCTCTTAAGAACTTCCGCAAAGGAAAAATGACTAAATGATTTTCTTTGAAACTGACCTTTAGTCTGTGTTTGGCTTGCAGGAAAGAATAGGAAAAAAAGGGAAAGTAAAAAAAGTTTTTACAAACTTTGTATAAGTTTTTTTACCTTTCTTTTCTTTTCTCTACCCTTTCCTTCCAATCAAACATATCCTTAATTGAAAACAAACAGCTTTCCAACGTTTTCTGATGTTTGGATTTAACTTTGAAAACATGCCTTAATGGTTAAGAAATGTGGGTTATATTTAACAAGATTGGAATCAAAGAAGTTCCATAACGCAAAATAGTATTTTCTATGGATATTATTGAAAAAAATCTGCTCTTTCTAGGTGAATTTCAAAGGAGCTTTGGTGAAGCATTTTAAGTCACTATCATTCAGATGAAAAAATTCACTTTTATCTTCTTTTTATGAATTTAAAGTTCAAGAGAGTTTTACGTTAGAATTTCTTTCTTGCACGAGTAATAATTGCAGACAATTCAGGGTCAACTTCAAGTTTGAGGAAAAAGAGAAAAGGGGAGAGACATGATTGTAAAATTTTAGCCAATTGTGAATCTTTTTCTTTGCTGTTCTTTTTTTATTTTTATTTTCTTTGTTTGTTCCAAGTCTACTTCCCGTCCCAGGATAGACTTAACTTTTATGTGGTTTAGAGTAACGTGAATTCCTTTCTCTTCGTGATAGCTGGGTTTTGGGTCATGGTTTATTCACAAATTGAATTGGGATATGTTCCTCACATAGTGCGCCCCACACCCACCTCATAGGTAGACCTATTCATGGGCCGGGTCAGGCCAAGTCTTCACTCTTCATTAATACATTTTTTTAAGGCCCGAGCTTGAGTCTAGGCCCGAACCAGTCTAAAGCTCATGCCACTGCTATCGCTGAAGTGGCTGAATAGAGAGAGAGAAAGAGAGAGAGAGAAATTATAAAGAAAAAAAAAATAAAAAATGTATATATATTAAATTATTAATATATTATATAAATTAGTTAGGCCGGGCCGGGCATTTTTGACAAATCTCGAGCCCGTCCCGAAACACAATTGGGCTTGGTGTTTGGGTCTAAGATCAAACCCGCAGGCCTAACTACATGTCCAAGCCTGACCGGAGTGCAGGTTGGGCCATCGGACTACCCGGCCTATGAACAGGTCTACTCACAGGCACGTATCACCATGCATTGAGAACATCTCTCGTGAATAATAACATATAAGTGAGGGAGATGTTCCGAATGCATGGTGGGATGTGCTAGTGAAGCACTTGGTGTGAGGAGCGGATTCGATCTCTCACAAATTGTCACTGCAACCTTGAACTGAGATAACAAAGAGGAACAACTGATGGTAATATTGGCGGTGTTTGGAACCATGTGCGTTTATTGAATAAATGCTGCCATATAAGCGTCATTTTAGCATTTTCCCATTATATCGATCTGTATGCATAAATAATTGCAAAAACAGTTATTTATTCACTATTTTGCTGATGTGATGCATAATGGCGCCTAAATATTAATAAATGGATTCATTATTTATTTTCTAGATTTTACAAACAAATAAATGGATTCATTCATTATTTAACGAATAAACGCCCATGATTTTAAATACATACATTACTATACTCTAATTGGACAGAAAATACGAAACACACGGATTCAAGGTGTCACGTTTTACCATATGAGATTGATGGATGGTTAGATTATTCAGCCCATTAAAAATGTCAAATAACTGGGACCCAAAAAGCTTATTGAGTCAACCATCCAATTCAGCTAAATTTGAAAACACTGGCATTCAAGAGTGGCTCATAGGGGTATTAGAGTTCAGATCAACATCCCACAACACATCCAACATTTCTCGATGATAGTATCAGAGATGATGATGTCATCATTGGGAGATATTCTCAATAAACAGTGAGGATGTATTGTAAAACGTTGTGGGGTGCAGATGTAAATTTGGGGTATTAAAGGTGCAAGTTGGACGAGCTAGGTCAGGTTGGGTCATTCCTAATCCAAGTATTCAACCCAAGTTGTTGAACTCCCAACCCAAGTTCAGGTTAGCCTATTTTATTCACCTCTTGTTTAAAAGAAAAATTTTAAGTTGGGGTTGTCTGTCGCAAATTTGGATTCAATCCTCATAAGACTGTCTTTACACCGTACTCACAACCACTTGTAACTGTGCATGGGAAATATGTTTTCATGAATAAAAAGTACAAGTGTGAAGATATTTTCAATATAGTATGGTTGCAAGGAATTGGGATCTATTTCTCATAGGGCGCCTCACAACGACCTTACTCACACATCCTACCATGCATTGAAAACATCTCCCATAAATAATGACACATAAGTACGGAAGATATTCCCAATACATGGTGGGATGTGCCTATGAGGTGCCATGTGTGAGGAGCAGATCCGATCTCAGTTGCAAGTGACTATAAGGACTGGAAATTGGGATTTATTCCTCAGATGGGGCACATGGCACTGACCTCACACAGCCCTATCCCAATTACATGATATGTTTCCGTTTTCCAATGTGTGGCTGGGAGGTGTTGTAAGATTGGTGTGTGGAGCAGATCTGGATTCTCTAGTCTCTACGATCTGCTCCTCACAAATGGATGCCTCACAAACACATGTATTAAGAACATCTCCCATGAATAATAACTAATAAGTATGAAAAATATTCGCTAAGATGTGCGTGTGAGGCGCCAAGTGTGAGGAGCAGAGCCGGTCTCAGTCTCTACTTTGTCTATAAACAACTCATGAGGTGGCATGTTTAGACCTTAGTGGCCCTGTTCACAGAATTACTGTTTGCCTTCTGCTTCGGCAGTCGGCACATGCAGATCAGCAGAGGCAGTTAAAAGATAATTGGTAATTTACGTTTTGATAATCTGAAGGTAATTCAGTAATTCCAGTAAAAAGAGAAAAGGACCCACATTCATTATCGTTGTCCCTCGTACGCGTTATCTTCGGTTTATTTCTATTTCATCTATAAATTCACACTCTCTCTGCTTCGTCCTTCGATCAAAACCTAAGTCGAACTATTAAACCTCTCTATCTCTATCTCTTTCTGTCTCATGAGGGGCTCAACGATGAGAGCTCCGTTGCTGTGTTTGTTGAATTGTTTTCTTTTTCTTATAACGTACGTCTCCCATGCAGCGGAGACAGGTCCGGATGCATGGCCGGAGACCGCCCGGTTCGACACCGGGGGTCTGAGCAGAGAGAGCTTCCCGAAGGGTTTCGTGTTCGGAACCGCAACGTCGGCGTACCAAGTAGAAGGAATGGCGAGCAAGGAGGGTAGAGGCCCCAGCATTTGGGACGTCTTCGTCAGAATTCCCGGTAAATACTCACTGGAAACCTGAATTACCATTGTTGCCCTTGCCCTTCTCTTTCTCTTTCTCTTCTATTTCCATTCAAGTCCTTCATTTCTCGTTTCCAAAAATGCACCAGGAATTGTTGCAAAAAACGCTACGGGGGAGATGTCGGTGGACCAATATCACCGCTACAAAGTAAGTTCAAGATAGCTCAATGTCAATCACCATTCTTAGCCGTTTGATCAACATCAAACGCTTGAGGGGACTGTGTTTCGTTCGTAAACTTGTTGAATACGACGAGTTCACATCTGCGCCCCACAATAACGCGCCCCAAAAAACGCTTCACACGCACATTTGAGCGTGTATTTGAGAGAGATTCTCAAGATGTGCTGTGGAACGTTTTTTAAGCTCTTTCTGGGGGGGCAGATGTGAATTCGTCGGATAGTGTTCAATGAAAAGCAGAGTGTATGAAGTCGCAGTGCACCGTCCCCACTAGTGACAAAAAGTAGACATTACCCACTGGGCCGCTCGGGACAAACTCTCCCAGCGCTGGGCCTCGTGAACGGGCAGGCGAATCCGAATCTTGGGCGAACAGGCCCACAATTTAAAATACACGTAATCAGGTATCTAAAAAGATGGGGGCCATAAATAGTACGTCCAATTTTGTCGGGTTAGCTCTGGCTGTTGGGGAGTGGGGACCAACACTATAGCCAGTTTCTGGGCTGGGCTGGGCACGTTCAGGGCATTCAGCTATTTACGCCCTCTCTTTTGTTTTTAATTAAAGTGATTATTAATTTATCATTCTCATGATAACGTGGTATTTTCAGAAATCTTCTCAACAGTATAGGCTGTTGCCCCTAACAGTTAAAATTCTGATTGTGGATCCCACCAAATCGGTGGAGCGAAGAATACAATAATTGCACCAAGCAAGTTGATTGCAGCATTATGGCATTGTGGAATAACAGTACAGGATGGCTGTGTCCATTCAGGATCTGCTATCGTGAGTAGCGAATCTGAGCCTGGCTGTGTCATGATGGGTCATGGCATGTGTAACCAATGTTAATGACCGCGCAAGGATCAAAATTTTGCCGAGCCGACATGCAACATGTCGGTAGGTCACCCATACGCGAAACTGTGATTCTTGTGGGTTTGACCCATTTCAGTGACTAGGCATGACTTAGACCTACCTTATGAAACAGGCTTTGAAAGAAAATATAAAAAAGGGAGTGGGGGTCGAATGTAATAAAAAAATATTTGATGATATAATATTTTATAACTAATGAATTGGGTAGATCAAGGTATATTCAAATTTGATCTATTAACTAAATGAATCTAAATTTTCCAATTCAATGATTAAGGGAGGTATCCAAATATGGATCTTATCAGATAGAATTTGGATTCGAATTAGATCTTATTTATAGCCCTATATCCAGATGCAAAAAATGGGTGCTTCTCTAATTCTACGTTAACGATAAAACACTCCCTTTGGTAGATGACTAAGGGCTAATTCTGAATTTGAGTGTTATGGGCTATGGGACCAATATTAACGCCACACGCCAATCATAGACTGCATTTGGCCCACAACCACTCAAGCTCTCATTTCGCATCTATAGCAACTGCTACAGCCACAATGGGCCTTCTTCTCATAGGCCCAAAGATGTTGAAAATAAGAAGACGTGATTGGAGTTACAATTTAGGGCGAGGACCACACCTTGATTTTATTGGCCCCTATGGATCCAATACCAGTCAGCCTTCTAGGCTTTTGAGTTTTGAGAAACAAGCCGAGTCCGAGCTGATTGTGTTGGATTGGCATTAGCACCCAAACAAGTCTTACCAGAAAATTCATAATTTTGTATTCTTACCAAACATATCCGGTTATGATGGGTACAAACACGAATGAAAATATATCAGAAAAAAAAAAAAAAATTGCTGTTATTTTCGGTACAAAAATGTATTCTTATCAAAACGTAGTGTAAATTCACTTCAATTACCTTTAAAAACAATGTTCTATATAGGAAAGAAAAAAAGAACACTTGTATTGTCACGAGTCACCTACTTCATATATAACAAATTTCTTCTCTTCTTCTGTTAGATGTGAATTTAAATAGAAGTGTAACATTTTTTTGTTACAGGAAGATGTGAATCTCATGGCAAACTTGAACTTTGATGCATATCGGTTCTCGATCTCATGGTCCAGGATTTTCCCAGGTAACTATTATCTTTTAACTGGCGTTTAAGTGGTTGATCCATTCTTCTTTCTATTGCCCAAGAAATGCTGATGTCTTGTATGCAAAACTCTCTTTTCATGTAGATGGAGCTGGAAAGGTAAATTGGAAGGGAGTTGCTTATTACAATAGGTTGATTGACTACCTGCTTGCAAAAGGTAAATTCCTCCCAAGAACCTGATTATTGTCCGGTCCAGCATTTTGTATTAGCCAATTGCTCAACACACTGACTTGTGTTCTGATCATCTGGAATCTGGACCTGGTTCAGTCTAGTTTTACAATCACCAATTTTCACACTCCTGTGCCTGGAATGGCTTGAATTGGACCCAAGAGTGATGCCAGCTAATGCCACACAACCATTTTCAGCTTCCATGATCTGATCATTATTTATTTATCATGAATATTTACATCAATTGATTGAACTTGTAACAGTACTATATTTGTTTCACCTCTAGGTATCACCCCATATGCTAACCTCTATCACTATGATCTTCCCTTGGCACTTGAGAAGAAGTACAATGGATTACTAAGCCGTGAAGTTGTGTAAGTACATTGTTAAGCAAAGGATTAATAAGCTTGATTAACCTTTCATCTATACAACAATCTGGATCTTTAACATGCTCATTTGATTGGCTTGACTGTTGACAATTCATACAAACCATACAGGAACGACTTTGCGAATTTTGCCGAATTTTGTTTCAAGACATTTGGTGACAGAGTGAAGAATTGGATGACATTTAATGAGCCAAGAGTGGTTGCTGCTCTTGGTTATGATAATGGGTTTTTTGCTCCTGGAAGGTGTTCCAAACCGTATGGAAACTGTACAGCTGGGAATTCTGGAACTGAGCCTTATATTGTGGCCCACAATCTGATTTTATCTCATGCAGCTGCAGTTCAGAGATACCGTGAGAAGTACCAGGTAAGTGCAATATTTGCAGTTTGTCTAATTTTATCTGACAGAAGTCACAGAAAAGCCTTTAACAGTGATTCTTATTATCTGCTTGTATAATTTTAGGCACATCAAAAAGGGAGGATTGGAATTCTCTTGGATTTTGTTTGGTATGAACCACTTACCAGAGGAAAGGCTGATCAACAAGCAGCCCAGAGAGCAAGGGACTTTCATGTTGGATGGTAAAAGCACATAAATGTCATTGAGATTAAATATCTTACTGAACACGATGATCATTTAGCAATGTGTTGGGATTTATTCATGGATAGTTTGACAATTGTGGTTTTACAGGTTTCTTCATCCTATTGTGTATGGTGAGTACCCAAAAACAGTGCAGAATATTGTTGGAAAGAGGCTTCCCAAATTTACAGATGAAGAGGTTAAAATGGTCAAGGGGTCTATAGATTTTGTGGGTATCAACCAATATACCACCTATTACATGTATGATCCACATCAAACCAAGAAGCAACCTCCTGGCTACCAGAACGACTGGAATGCAGGATTTGCTTGTAATATCTTCTTCCCTTACTACTTTCTATCAAGAAGTATGTTCTATGAGTATTCCCTTGTTACTGATTTGTGGTTATGTTTGGACTTTGCAGATGCCAAAAAGGGGGTGCCAATTGGTCCACGGGTAACCAAAATAACTGAACTTTTATCGTTTATGTTTGTTTATTGATGATAAAAGCTGAAAGTTGAAAGAACAATTCTGAATAAGTTGGGCATTTTGATGAACTTGGAGCACCCAAGAAGGCTAAAGAACCTTTTCAACCTCTTAATTATGGTTGAGATGATGTTTCATCTTGCTTTCCACTATTACATGCAATATTTTCTTTTTCACTCAACAATTTGAACATTTCCAGGCAAACTCTTATTGGCTTTATGAGGTGCCATGGGGTTTATACAAGGCTCTGATCTATATAAAAGAGCGTTATGGGAACCCTACTGTGATCTTATCAGAAAATGGTATGACATATGAAGCCATGAAGTTATTCGTTTTCTTATGTTTCTATTTTCTTTTCTTCCTCTTTACTGTTGTCTTAAGATACAAATTATATGTTACTATACCAAATCGACCCTGTAACTCAGTATTTTTAATCATCAATCATAGGAGGTCTAATCGCAACCCAAACTTTCTCCTAAATTGATTAGGCTGTGTTTGTTTGCAGTGTAAATATTTATCGATGTAAAAGTACACCAGTGGAGTTCAACATCAATCAGTTTAAATGAGTGAATTGTTGTAAAGTGAAAGGCACAATTATCGATATAAAACTCTATGTGAGTGGAGTTTATATCGATTTTCGATGTAAAACTACATTCAAAACAAATGCCGACAAATACAGACCAGGAGTGGAGTTTTACACCGGTCTGTATTTACACCGAAAACAAACATAGCATTAGGATATATGGGTTGCTTATGGAACATAATGGCAGCTATGGAGTCTGCAAAGTCATTCTTTAATACTCTCCACAAGTGCCTGAAAATATTTTCATCACAAAATAGTTTATTTTCATATTCTGCATGTTCACTCTTATAATTGTAGATTGAATGGATAGATGACATTAACCATGCAGTCTTGGGCTCAATCTTATCTCAAACACTTTTAATGGCAGGCATGGATGATCCTGGCAATGTCACACTTCCCAAGGGGTTGCATGACACTACAAGAATCAATTACTACAAGAGCTATTTACTTGAACTCAAGAAAGCTGTAGATGAAGGAGCCAATGTGATTGGCTACTTTGCATGGTCACTGCTAGACAACTTTGAATGGAGATTGGGATACACTTCAAGGTTTGGTATAGTCTATGTTGACTTCAAAACCCTCAAGAGGTACCCGAAGATGTCTGCCTACTGGTTCAAGGAATTACTTGGTAGAAAGAAGCACTAAGTGGCATTGGCCATCCTCTTTTTAATCCTTCCCAGTGTTGCAGTGTAATAGTGCTTCTGGTTTAGTAGATATCTGTATCTCTTCTGTTTCTTTTGTCTTTTGTATGGGTTGTCTTCAATTGGCATGCTATATACCTCATGGATGGTTGAGATGCTGGATATCAATGAAAAGCTATGTTAACCTATTTGGTTTCCTATAAAATATTCAAATCTTGTCATCTTTTTGTTTTAGTTTCCTTTTTTCTTCCAATGTCCTACATCTATGGACCCTTTGCTTCTCTAAAATTGCATCCCTTCAGCCAAATGAAAGATATAAAAGCCACAAAATCGCCAATTTGTATTCTCAACTAGATCAAAGAAAATACCACAAATATCCCAATGACCCGGTTGGGAAAACAGTCAAATTATAATTGCAGCAAATCTATGAATATGATGAAGATATACTATCATTTGGCAATTTCAGGTGTAATGTATATGCCTGGATCCTACCGATATACCAAGCATACATTTTGGGCCGCAAATGTTAAGTGCTAACCAGTTAGATTGGACCCTAATCGTCATTCCATGTCTTGATGTCTAATTGAATTGCTGGATATGGAGACATAGTTCTCATTCCATGGTGATTTGGATTGATTTGACCTGTTTTCCACGGGTCCAGCCGTGGATGGACCCAATTGATCACACCTATGTAGTTAGTCTTATTTATGGGCCTTAACTGAATTGATACTAAACATGTTTATTCCCATTTATCATGTTGTTTGTTGGTTCACCACCAACTACAAATTAACTGACATCAAATGGCCCCATTTTTATATATTAGGAATGGCAATAAATCGAGCCCATTTCAGCCATGTCAACAATCTACCATCCTAGAGCCCAGCCCAATCCAGGCAACAGAATTTTCAGTCATTTTTGCATTTGAACTTTTTTTTTGGGCATATCTCAAGACTTCAGCTTCTAATGCCCCACCAAGCACCAAGTTGATATATAAAGTACAGACATTCTTAACTTCAAAAGATTGTAGGAGTCGTAATCACCCATCAACATGCAATGATCTCACTTCCACTGTTCCACATTTTAGCCTGTAAGGATTAATGAGGCCATAATATAAGTTCCCATTTATAATGTGAAAAGCCATGGAAATTGAATTATTAACAAAATAGATTGAATTTGAACCTTAAGCTCTGTTTGTTTGCAGTTCTGTTCTGAACTGGATACAAATTTTGAACCTTCCTCCTACCTCAATTCTTCCTCATGTAAAAGGGGGGATTATATCATCTTGCTTCTTACTTCAGTGTCAGACAAATAACTCTCCTCCTCTTTCCATTCCCTTTCATATAAACTATAAACTGAAGATCACTTCATTTTACTTTCTATCTTTACTTCTCATAAATAAATAAGACAAAGTCAAACCTGGAACAAAAGTAAACCAGAATTTACACTCAGCCTATTTGCACTCGTGCATATGAAATTCACACTACAAAGCACAAACAAACTGATCCTTAGGTTTTGAAACTTTTTTCAACTAAAAGCTAAACTACGTACGTACAACCTGCATCTACCAAGCCCGAGAATCCGAGGGTTTTTCTGACAAGAAGAGTTGCAGTCAACAAATATCAGACTATCAGTCTCAAGGCTTCGACCTAACGCCCACAATAATGCTCATCCTCTCTAGCTTGGACGACATTGTTGCATCAATCAAGTTGTCAGCTTTGTCTTGTTGCCTGAATTGGTCAGGACACTTTGAATCTTCATGTGTGAACAGAAGAAGTTTGGCACCCTTTGAATTGAGACATGTACCCATCACTCTATATCTAGTGGGAGAAGACTTGCTGCAAGGAGGGTATCAACCACTCTCTAGCTAAGGTGACAGAGCCAGTTCTTGCAGGTCCATCCATCTGGGGGCTGGGGACACTCAATCTTTGTTCTTACTCTCGTCTAGTCTTGCAGAAAGCTAGAACAGTGCAAATAGATTATAGAGGTCAAGACTTTAGAGACGACAAATACCTTGAACCAGTCCAAGTAAAGGCTGTGCGTTTATCTACCAAAACAGTCTCCAACAATCCAAAGGGTGTATCATATGTAGCTCATTCTTCCTTTTCCGGAGTAGCCTTAACATTCCACTGTCTCCTTTTCCCCTTTCTATAAGTTCTTCCATTGAAGTGCTTTTATGGAAGGATATTTTATCAATCTTAGCTACAATCCCAAGCACTACTCTAGGATTTCTTTAAGAAATGTATAATTGGGTTTCTGCTTGGTTGTTCAAGTTTCTAGATCTGATAATTAGAAGCCAATGTCCCAACTGGTTTATTGTGGTTGAAAATTTTGTAATAAAAAATGCATAAAATTCAAAAATGCCATTTAGAGTCCATTCCTTTTTTTGGATTTTGAGAGGGAGAAAATTGGTCAATGGGATTTTGGTTCCTATTGACCAAGAAACCCATGTTCTTTTTTCATATTTAGGTGGGTCCATGAAAAATTTGTTTTCCATGTGTATCACTTACCCGTATGATTTGGAATTTTCTACCAACAAAACATGTTCCAACCCTCTACCAACTTAATCTAACACCGCACATCTCACCATGATATTGGGACCCACCATGTATGAGATGTGTGGTGTGAGATCATGTTGGTAGAGGGTTGGAACATGTTTTGTTTGCAGGTGGTCCGGACTCAAGTAAGTGATACCCACCTCCTACGTGAGTAAGTAACTTTTTTATCCAGGGGAAAGTTGCCAACACTTTGACGAGACAAAATTGTCCCCTTTAATAATGGTTTTTATAGCTAAGGTGGTCACTATCTTATTTACTTGAGAAATAAAAGAACATGGGTAAAATATACTTACCTTACCCGAGTAAATAACTTACCAAGGAAGCCTTCATTGGGGGTAGGAATTCAAATTACAAATTGGAATTCTACCTTTTTTGGGTGTTTTACCCAATTCATATGAATTCTTAAAATAATCATGCAATTCTAATGTATGCATTTTGTGAGAATTCAAACCTACACCTTGGGTGCGTTTTTGCAATTCTCAACAATGACAAATACCCTTCTTTCTCAAAAGATTGATTCATAGTAGGGAAAACCTATGATACTGGAAAGACATGGTATGAGAAGAGCTTTGACCAATCAAAGCACCTCTGTGAATTTTATCTTTTATGACACCAACTGGTTGGCTGTAAGAATTTCTAGTATCATGTGTCTTCCCGGTATCATAGCCTAATGCACAAGGCTCTCGCCAAGGCAAGGTGTGGGGAAGGACAGATGTACACAGCCTTACCCCTCTACATACAAAGAGGTTGTTTCCAAGATTTGAACCCTAGTCACTTAGGATGCAATGGAGTAACCCAACCATTGCGCCACAAAGCCCACCTCCTAAGTTATTATCTAATAAAATTAAAATAATTATAATAAAACAATTATTATGTTTAAAAGTAAACAAAAATAATTCAATGTTATTATCTAATAAAAATTAATGACCTTGTAAGATATCATTTCCTTTTATCTCTTAACACCAATGTTCTAAAAACCAGACCGGACCGACCAATTGAACTGTAACCCAGCCCCGGGCTGGTCTAGACATACCCCTAAAACCGGTATGTTCAAAAAACCGTTTATTCGACCGTTTCAATCAGAGAACCAACGAACCAGTCCTAGTTTTGCATAACTGGCCAGTTTTGTAACATTCTCATTTTTTGTACAAAAAGACAAAAAAAACTTAAAATTGGGCCAAACAGCCCCTAAGGTTTAATAAAAAAATCCCTATCCCAGCCAAAAATAAACCCTCTTTGATCGATCTCTCACTCTCTTCTTCCTTTTCAAACCTAACCTAAGTGCAACGACTCCAGCCACCATCACCAGTGCCTCACCACCGATGTGGTGGCGGCGGTATTCTGTTCACCGTCCTCTCCTAGTCTTCTTCCCTCTTTCCTTCTCCTCCTCCTCCCACCACCTAAATCTGATTTCTTTTTCTGTAAGTTTGAATCTGATTTATGCAACATTTAATCATTTATTTTTCTTTAATTCTTGAACTTGAAATTAATTAATTATTGTAGTTTTGTTATAGGTTTGATTTTTTGCTTCAAGCTTTTAGTCCACCAAATAGAAATTTAAACTTGAATAAATTGATTTCATATTTTGAATTTAGGTGATATTGATATTGAAATAGCTGAAAATTAAAATCAATTTTAGTTTATTGCATTATAATTTTTGAATTGATATTTCTTGAAATATCATTGTGATGATGGTGGTTATAATTAGGATTGAGTCTTGAACTTTATTGGATTGTTGATGTATTTGTTTTCATTGTGGGACATATTGTCTTAAACTTTGAAAGTTTGAAGTACTTATTTCTATTTTGGATTAATTGTCAATTATATTTAGTATTTTTTTTTAATTTTATTTATGGTCTATATATTATTTATTACATCATCACGATCCAACCTCGGAATCAACCTCAGTCGAACCTCTGACCCGTGAGCCTCTGCCTTTATTGGGTTGATGCCTGGTCCGGTTCTTTGAACATTGCCTAACACAACCTAAAAGGGGAAATATAAATTATTTATAACTAAGTCATAAAAAGTTTTTTGCAATTTTACAAAATAAAAATACGAGTAATATTAGAAATAAGAAGAATAAGGAAAATTGTATATCACACTTAAAAATCATTGTCTAGAAAAAGGCTGGTAATTTATCTATCTATCCATGGTTTTCAAACTGGACCATAAATAGAACCATTATGGCCACCAGTTCCTGGGTCAAATGGTTTGACCATCTGGTCCAACCCCAGGTCGAATGGTTTTGACCACCAGTTCCTGGGTCCAAAACCAAAACCGGGCCCATGACCGATTCTCGAATCAACTAGTTCAACTGTCTGTCTGGTCCAGTTTTGAAAACCATGTATTTATCTATCTATGGGTCGGTGCAAATTTACCACTTAACTCTACCCACTAAATTCCAATTGATCATTTAACGCTTTTTAGAATTTTATTTTAAACTTTTTTAGGATCAAGTAGGATTTGGGATTTTACACAAAACTAGTTGTCTATCTACAATTAAAAAAATATATTGTTTTATGTTTAATTTTTTATATTTATGCTATTTTTATGGAGGATTTTTGAGTTTCAAATCAAATGTAATTTAAATCAGATATCTAAATATATAGATATATTAAAGTCAAATCCCCCTCTCTCTCTCTCACACATTACACATAATCCAACTGCACTATCAGTGTAAATGGAGCATGATCTTTGTGACTAGGCATTTGAATATCTTAACCTTAGAGGAATCAAAAATCGAATCTCAATTTCTCAACTAACATTCATTTTGCAATAAAACTTTATTCTTGTGCACCATTTACAAATTTTCAAATAGAAAAGGCAATAAAAGTTGGAACCAAATTTATTAGCTAAACTCCTTTTTGAAGTTTAATTTAGAAAAGCATGGACTCACTCCAACCACATCTGTAAAGGTAAAAATTTTCACTAATCAATAATCAAAGCATAGTACCAGAGAGGCTCAATGTCACTGTGTCAGATATTTCTATGCATAGATATCTACCAAAAGATACTTCGATGGAGATGGCCAAAAAATTTTTACCCAAAACAGACAGCACTGAAATATTTTTCTATTTTAATATACCAAGTTTTGCTGCATTATTCACACAAAATCATTCCTTGTATGATAAAAATCGGGTTGATAATCAATGGTGACGCTAGGCTAGCCACCCTTGAACCAGAATTCGACAGGCGTATGTTAGTGAACTTGCACTGACGATGGATGACTGACTGATGACAGTAACGTGAACCCTATCTCCAACATTCCACTCTGGTTTTACTTGTAAGGACCAATACTGACTGACGTAGGAGGTAGGACGAGATCAGAGGATCCTCCTCATCTCTTAGGCTATCTCCCTAATCCCTATACGTGGGACATAGCCAAATGGGTCGTACCATCGGGCCCATATGTAGCCCAACTGGCTGATAGTAGTCTAGTCTAGGTTCCTAACCTAACAGGTTGGGCCTAAGGCCCTAAGCCGCTAACTGTCCAATTATTGAGTTCTTTTTCATCAGTTCTTCACTCTGCAATTGGGGTTATTGGATTGAGTTCTAATCAAAGATATCCCCTCTACGAGGCTCCTACCAATCGAGTGGTGGATAATGGATCATAAAAAGGGAAACCCAATTGCCCTTTTTTCTCTCTCAAAATATGTAGTGTTTGTGTCTGAGCTAAAGTAATCAATAATGGAGCTGATTAATTTATTAAAATCCAAGACAGATCTCTCTTTATGAAATGACAACCCAAGTTTTTGATTTAACAATAGATGATTGATTGGTGTGGGGATCACTCAATTAAGTTGCCAAAACAGTGTTAAAAGGCACATGATTAAAGCTCTTCATTTATGAGAAAACTACTTCTCTTTGAGAACTAAAGAAGGTCAGATAAATCTTAAGCCTGACATTGTGCTCCTCGGAATCATTCTCCCACTTTCATTGTTTGTGTTTTTTACCATTTTTGGTGGCCACGAGTCTCACCACAAACTAGGAGCCAAAAAGAAAAGAAAAATTGTTTTATAGACAGAGATAATCTTAAATGTCATAGCTAGTCTTAGGAAGGGAATTGCTTTAGAAATTAGAAGGGCAAATATGGAGAGCCAACACGGCCACTTAAGTTTTCAAGGGTTCTTAAGTATAGATTATTTGATATCATGTTCTTATAGACAAAGAGAAAAATAAAGAAGAGTTGTATTCATCAGATAAGGCTAAACTGATCTTTGACCAAACAGGTTCCTCAAGTGGGACCAGCCCAATAATGCATATCCTTCTTCTCCGCCCGGAGGTCCTACCTATGGTCGTACTGTGAGGTACTTTGTGAATAGGTAAGGGTAATGGTGAGTGTTCTCAGTAATAATCTATTAACACTATCCCTCTATTGTTTACAAATTCCTTCCTCACAAGTCACAAGTCACAACTAGTTTAGTCCAGGACCCAAAAGCTTTAGTGGATTGATTTGATATAAATGTTTGATGTTTTGTCTATACCACATACTGTTAACCCGTAAAGTTGGTTGGTCTATCCGGGTCTGTGCTGGACCCGGATTAAACTACGCGAGAAAAAATAAAACCCAACATAACCTGGAAAGTGGAAACCTTGTATAGGTTAGGAAATTAAATGAGAAAATGGGTCGGGGTAGATCTGTTTGGTTCAATCTAGGATAGGTTGAAAAGCGCCCAACAAGCACTAGAGAGGACAAAATTAACAAGCTGTAGATCTGAATGAAATTCGCCTTTTCAGACTACAAAAATAAAGATAAAGGAAACCAAACCTATGATAGGATTTTTCGAAAATTTCATGAACCCACTCCACTTATGTTTAAATTATTTTAGTTGCGATTGGTAGCACAAAATCATCATTTAATGGGTCTAATCGTGATTAGACCCATCAATGTATGAGATCGGCTTCTATCAGAAAAGAGAAGGATCAGTACTGTACTTATTGTCACCGAAAAAGCCCCAAAAACCACTTTTCTGTTTATCTTATTATGTCTGACAAGCCTGGAATCAACAACCCTAGATAGTCCATGAAGTCACAAGATGCAACAACAGTGTACCATCAAGAAGAAGAAGAAGAGGAAAAAGTTCCTCTGGTTACAAACACAGCATTCATCTTGCTAGTAACTCATCTGACACCACTTTCATCTGTGGGTCTAAAACCCATTAAATTAATAAACCAGTAGTAGAGACTCTCTCTCTCTCACACACACATGGAATTTTCTACATGATTGAACAAGCATTTGGGTTCTCATCGCTGAAGAGTGTCATTAAATTCTCATCAGTTGCATTTGGAGCAGGGTTTGCTTGAACCACATTCTTCACATATCCTGCTGGTGCCTTCTTGTCGTAGGCCTGAGTCGCATAAGGATATGCCACTAAATTATAAGGGACGTAAGGCCAAAATTCAGCCTTCTTTCCAGTGCCCTGAACTTTCTTCAGGACCTTGTTTGGCTCAACGTAGCCGGCGACCGTCACCCGGCTTTGTTTTCTATTTACCTCCACCGATCTCACACCTGAATTGAATAAAGAAATAAACAATAACTTGCTATTAGAAGAAACCCATTTGACGGTTGTTAATACAATATGGATATCAGAATTATTGTATTCATATGAAGTAGATGTTCATAGGGGGAACGTTATGTTAATCCACTAATTCTATTATGTTAATACGTGATATAGACACTAGTATTATTGTGTTAATATTATAACATCTTTTGTCTGCTTTTGGGGGGTTCATGTATCGGATTAGTATGCCAAAATACTCAAATGCAGTGAAAGAAAAGGAAGGAAAAATAGAAAGAATGAAAGAAAGAAATTAAGAAAGGGTTTTCAGTTTTCTGTTACGTTATTGCAGATGAATTTGGAAGAAATTAAAGTCCTCATCTTCTATTAGAGGCAGCCAACCAAACCAAACAAAACCATCTTATATATGGAAAACAAAACAGAGAAAAAAATATATCGAGAAAGACAGGAAGTACATATGGATGACTTGTTCTTCTTCTTCCTCCTCCTCCTCCTCCTCCTCTTCTTCTTCTTCTTCTTCTTCTTCTTCTTCTTTTGGTGTGTGTGCGTGTGTTTATCTTACAAATTTCTCGTATATTGAGCAGTTACCTAGCGGCAAAATATGCAAAGCAAATAAACAGAAACCGAATTGAAATAGAACTGAACTTAGTCCAACAAGGACTTCTTTTGTGCGTTCAAATCCAAGAGGTTACATTTTTTTTTCAGTTTAAGGTATGATTAAAATGGAAAAAAGAACTTTGTCTTGAGAGAGAATGAGAGAGAGAAGACGCAGAAAAAGAGTAAGATTTGTCTTTGAACCTTTCATGGAGGAAACAGCATGCCTAACTCTCCTTTCACAGCCATCACAGTCCATTTTTACCTTGATCTCCACTGTCTGATAGAAACAAAATAAATCAGCTTTGAGTAAAAGGCTACTGACATAACAAGTTCCAATCCAGAGAGAAAGGAAGGTCGGGGATAAAGGCATTCTCTTTTGCAGCTTACACGGAAGAAGTGATTAAAAGAGCAAAACATGAAAAGTGTGAGCTGGAGCTAACCTGCATTGGTTTGCGTTTGCTCTTTTTGCTGGATACAGTGCAAAAGTTTGGAAGATGGTCAAGAAAACCCATTTTTGTTTCTTCTCCTGAGACCAAAAGCAATAGTGAGTTTCAAACAAAAGAGGGAGAGAGTGAGGAGGGGGACTTGGAGGTGGAAACTGGAAACAGGAGACGGGCTTGTGAAATATATATATATATATATGATGAGTTTTTGTACATGGAAGATGTATCAAGTAATGGGCCATTGGTTTTAAAAAGAATTGATTAGGGAGAGGTTCGGATCCCAAATCATGCTTGGTGCTTAAATAACATTATAGGGAAGCTAATTTTTTGGGGTTTTCTTTAATGGGGAATTGTTGTAGAATGTAGAGTGCTCCTACGTTTACAGTGATTTTATTCAATGGGAGTGGCCTGCTTTCCAAATTTTTTATTTGGAAATTAAACGACTAGAATATCTTGTGTTTATTATTATTATTATTATTATTATTATTATTATTATTATTATTATTATTAAAATAATCACTTCATAGACTCTATGACTGTTCTACATCTACCCATACGTATAGAGGATTATTTGGTATCAATATTCAATTACTTCCATATTAAGGATCTCATACCAAGTCAACTTTATTGACGGTTGTAAAGATCCGGGGGAAGATGGGGATATAGGATGATAATCTAGTATATATTTGGCATCTATGCTGATGTGTGGCATGGAGCATCATCTTTTTTTTTGTTGGAAGTGTTGCTGTCAGGTAGAACGTTTCCTGGAGCAGCAACAACAACTTTTTCTGTTTGGTACCAATGCTCCAAGAAACGTTTTCTATACTTCTATCCATTATCCATTGTCACATCACTGTCCTGTTGGCAGCAACGAGCTGCAGCTCTAGGAAACGCCAAATTTAACATTACTCCAAGTCATGCTTTCCCAATTTCCAAGGCGTGGCTTGGAATACCGTTTTCTTTAGAAAAACGGTTTCAAATTGAAGGTTGTTTCCTGAAGCACCGTTTTTTCCTACATGACACTAATGTGGCACTGTTTTCTGGAGCAACAACAACGGTTCTAAATAAACGCCTAATGAATAAGTTCATAATGAAATCACCAGTACATTATTTTTAATTTTATTTAAGGAATTTTTTGCTATTTTTTATTTAAAGGTGAAGCATATGCATAAATGTTAAACTTTTTTTTTAATTTATATTTTTTTTATTATTTGGGGTTATGGTTTCTCATTTCTGTGATGAACTTCTTAGCACTTGCTGCACTGATGGGGATAGATGGTTTGTAGATTAATTGAAATAAGCCAAGTTTTCAAAGGCATCACAGAGTAAAGGGTATGGACTCTGGAGCCCATCTTAACTTGCACAATTGAAATAAGAAAGGTTCTTGTGAATGAATAAGAGGAGATGCTAACCCTAATCCATACCTATCCTAAATCCTAGATTTTTTTTTCCCTTATTTTATTGTGTAAAATGAGATAAGGTGAACCGTAGAGGAGTTATAGGTGAAACTTTCCGAGAATGGCAAGCCCCCTTGTATCTATCCTTAGTTTTGAGGGGAATTTCCTAGAAATTTGAGTGTTAAACTAGGCAATCAAAAAAGGCATGATACTGATTCATTGGTTACCACTTATATGATACTGGTTCATTGGTTATAAGTTTTTTTCTGATATCATAGTCGAAATTATAAAAAAAAAATGTCAACCAACACTACTATTTTATCTTAGCTTCCAATTTTTTTCCACTGTAAATTTGGTTTGTGTCTTTTCTTTGGCCATTCTTTTTCATTTTTTGTTTTTCTTTTTATTCGAAAAGTATATATGGTCACATACTTTTGGGGATCTTTTTTTAGGCCTTTTTACAGTTCACTCCACCTCAGGATTGGGAAATTATGTTTTCAAATGTATTTACTCCCAGCTTCCCCTATAAACAGAATCACCCCTGTGAATTAGGAATATTTCCCCCCTTGACACTGACCCAATCTGAACGATCAAATTATGAATTCTGAGGTTGAATATATGGTGAAAAACGTTTTTTAAGGATAAATAGACTATACTCCACCTCAGAATTCTAAATTCTACTACAAACCTACAACAATTCAAAATTTCAAATACCTCCACTTATAACACCAATACAGCAATACTCGCCTGTGTATTAGCATCAATTCTGAGCTGGCACACCTACCCCTACTGTATGGTGGAATACTGGAGCTAAGATTTGTTAGGGTGGACTGAACAGTAAACACCCCCCCCCCCCCTTTTTTTAAGGCACAAGCTTTTGGGGATTGAAATGTATATATGTTATTTTGCAAACTGGCAGTTTTTTTTTCAGTGATAGTTAATAGAAATATATTTGAAAGGAAATTGACAAAAATGCAATAATTCTTTTTTCTTTTCCTTTATTTTTTTTCATATTTTGTAAACTTTGGGGGTCAAATCTTTTCGGTTGTTGAAAAGCTTTTTGCCTAACCCAAAACCTCAAGGCCCAAACCAGCTGAGGGAGACACGGTGGTAGGCACAATCTATGTTTTCCAAGTTCTAACTCTGACTCAAATGGGTGCTTTCCTACCCAGATGACATGACCATCGCCATACAGCCAGCCATACAGGCCGAAGAAAGGGAACTCGAAACCCTACAGGGACCCATGCATGAATCATGAACTCAGGATTGCCCAGCATATGGGATATGCTTGACACCAAAGCCAATGAAATTTGGGCTGAGATCGTATTGACATTTGGGACCCAAGTCGCTGTTGGTGAGGATAGCTGGGCCGAGTTAGTTGGTTTTTTGGTGGATGTCCATGTCCTTGTATATATCACGATTTTTAATTTCATAAAAGGCTTTTACATCAAACCCCTTAAGCTCAATCTTCAGTCCTGCCAGAAGGCGATGTTTTGGAAGGAACAGGACCCATCAACTAATATGGCAGGTTGTGCATGATGATGGGTTCCAATCCCATGAGAAGGGAGATCACAGATGAGCGTGCATTAGGAATATTTCTTGAAGTTGTCAGTGGAAAATGTTTTTAATACACGGTTGGGATATATTGTGGGGCTTTTGTGGGGGCTCAAATGTGAATTCATCAGACCTCAGAGTCTAAACTCTATAAACAAACCCAGATGAGTTGTGGTGAGTTTAAGAGAAATGCTTAAAATTCATGGTGAGTTTTAGACAATTTCCCTAAATTTTAAACTCTTTTTGTATTAGTGTGAATGAATTTACACTGCAACAACACCGTAAAATTCATGGTAAGTTTTAGACAATTACCCTAAATTTTAAACTCTTTTTGTACTAGTGGGAATAAATTTACACTGCAACAGCACCGAATCAGCCCCCCACAATGCTCCACAGCACATCCCGTGCTGTGGGACGTTGTGGGGGGCAGTCTTGTGGGGGTGATTTGAACTCACCACATTAGTACTCACCATCGTTTTTCCCCATTTAGGAGAAAAAGATTTGCCAGGTGGACTCATAATGAGACATTTTATAGATTACATCAGGGGCGCTGTGGGGCGCCGAGCAAAACGAAACTAATTAGTGCTGAATCCCTGTCGGTTGTACTGCTGATTGCCATAATTGCAAGACGCCAAGAACTAGCGAAAGAGGCATATCAAGGGCGCTGTGTAGTACAGTAGTAAATAACTTGGTTGAGGGCAATCCTAATTTCCTATCCCAAATTGATGTTTAAAACCTTAATTCCAACCCTAAATAGAGAGGCAACTAGGGTTGGGCCAAACCTAGTCCATTGGGTTGAAGATTTGAGCTGGGGATTGGGTTTGCACTAGGAAAATATCAAAGTAGTAGAGTGGGGTTGGAAGGTTAAGGTTTATGTTATGTATTCAAGTATACTTATGAGCATACTTATGTATTCAAGTCTATTTTATGCAATAATAAGCATAGCAATCCACAGATAATTTCACGCAAGGGTACTTTAGAGCAAAGAACCTCGAATTGAAGATTGAGGTACTCAGGTTGGGGTTACTTGTAGTTGAGGTTAAACACTAGGTTTTGTTAGGGCATTTGTTCAAAAAAGAAGAGGAAAACCGAGCCGAATTACCCCACTAGCCCAATCCTACTCAACCGCATACCATAAAACAATTTGGTGAGTTTGGTTTGGAATATAACCTTCCAATTAAATAAAAATTACATATTACATATACATGAGTGTGTGTGTGTGATAAATAAACATTATCAGACTACCACACTAACAATTATTTTTGCAAACACAAACCAAGATGCTCTCTACCCCCAATGATAAACAAATTTACATGAAAACACAACACGTTTCAGTTGGGTAGGGTCGTCTGGGCTTCAACATTCTACCCAAACTGAAATTAGATTGGGTCAAACCTTCACCTTTCACGTAACAAAAACTCAAGAAGCAAGATATTTCTCCACCCAGTACCCACACCCAGCCAGTTTATAAGTTCAAAACAGAAGGTACATATAACGCTCTACACCAAACTGTATCTTAGAAAACGCATAACCAATAAACAACCCAAGCACACCCCCGCAGCAATAAAAAACAAAAGGGCCATCACGTGTTCAACCGCATGATGCGAAGTGACCAAATTTTTCAAAGAAAAAGTAAGAATCAAAAGTCTATTCTTGCAACTGGACGACTTGAGAATCAATATGATTTCAACTCAAACCCCGATTCATTGTATATACTGGGAATTCATGTAGATAGAATAGAAATGACAACACGATGATCAAAACCTAACAATCTCCAAAAAGAGAACTGCGTAGCTGCTGGTCTGACTTCTGTTTTGTAAATAACAAAAACTATCTTTATGTTAAAGACTACAAAAATTGTTCGGCTAGAAAAAACATCCTCTGGAAATAACCCCCACCACCCACAAGTGTTTCGGTACTGCGAAAAGAGAACTCACAGCCTCCTTCCTCTTCTGCCACCCTTTCTGCGAGTGCTGTCGGTGGGAATTGGAGTCACGTCCTCTAAAACATTTAAAAAACAAGTTGTCAAAGAGAGAAACCAGAATCATGGTCTTAATGTTCTTTATACTGGATCACTGGAATAAAATTAATTTCTAATTGAACAACCTATCATTTTCCCTTAATGGTGGCCCATAATGGAGAAAGAAAAAAGAAAAGAAAAAAAAACTGGCATGCCATGCAATCAGCACAAGTCATACAATGAACAGGGAAAATCTTATAAGATATGGCCTGGAACTTTAGGAAATCCAAAATCTATGTGGCCTGAATTTGAGTGGCACAAGTAGGAAGTAGGAACAGGGGAATTAGACAGACAGGAAATCATCCTGTAGACCTCACGATTAAAACATCAAGCATATAAGCAAATTCACCAAACCGCAAATCTGGACATTTTTGTAGGCCACATCTGTACTGAAATAAAGGATCTAATTGAAATGACAGACAACGTTCCAAATATTTAGTGTACAATGCATTTCTAAGGCATACAAGAAAACTATGTATGCTTCACACAAAATTTGAGTGACTTGGTGCAAATAGAATGATCTAGTAGAGCAAGGAGAAATGATCAAAAGGTATATGTTGTTACTTCATCAAGGAGATTAATGGCAGGAGATTCCTTTTGCCGACCCCAAATAGCTACCATAGGAATTTCATTGAGTTGAGTAGAAGTAGATAAAGTTTAAAAGAAACAATTACCACACACAAGGAACATGGATAAATCAAACTAGAATTAAAGAATCCATGACACCTAAACAATGTTGTCAATATCTTACAATTTGCAATACGATTCACAATTTGAATCATGAATCCCCAGGATTTCAATTTGCATCTTATGTCAAATCGTCTTCAGCAAAATTCTTACAATTTTTGCTTGAATCCTACGATTTGATTCATAAATTTTACGATTTATACAACTTATAAGATTTCTACAGTTCACTACAATACAAATAAATTCAATTAAGAATCGGTTCTCTACTTTGTTATGTTTTTGTTTATATTTAATTGTCAAAGGAGATTTTTTGAAGCCCTTAGCCTTACTAGAAAATGATTTATTTACGTTATTTACAACTACAAACTGAGTTTATTTTCCATCATATGTAGGTTAAAAAATCAATATATGTAAATTTGTTTGACTTTCAAGCCAAACTTGATTATATTATCTCAGGCTACTATTGTATAAGTGGTAAATTCTATTATTTTAGGTACATATATGGTATGTATAGATCAAAAGCAGGGTACAGTCACTTTCCTAAATATATTTAGCCTTTTAATATATCTATATTTAATTTCTTGACAAATTTATAAAAAGTAGAAATAATCTTATGACTCATGACACAATTCACGATTCAATTCAAATCAACTTTCTCTACGATTTACAATACAATTACAATTTTCAAAACATTGCACCTAAATGAATAGACAATAAAAAGAATAAATAAAGCTTGTTAACTTGACAATACAGTCAACTTTAAGAATCAAATTAAATAACTCAAAAATTTATCTTACCAATACGACCAATTTTCATCCCAGACCGAGCAAGGGCTCTAAGAGCAGATTGGGCACCAGGACCAGGTGTCTTTGTCTTGTTCCCACCAGTAGCTCGAAGCTTGATATGCAGGGCGGTAATACCAAGCTCCTGTACAGTAAAGAAACTAAAAGGTCAATTTGCTGCATAAGAAAAGAAAAATAAAAGGAAAGGAATTATAAGGGGGAGAATATCACGTGAGGATAACAAGTACATGTCCTAGCTTAAGCAAAAAAAATTAAAATTATCAAAATAAAAAATAAAACTGAAATAGTACAATTGATACCCTTAACTAAGCTAAGTTGTTAAAAACATAGATGAATTTCAGCAAAACCATATCCTAAGCTTTGGAAGCATTTATTATGATGCAGGACAATGACGAAAAAGCAGAAAAAAGGAAACACTCCTTTTCCTTTTGAATATATGCCCATTCTCCTTGGCTCTTGCAAATTGATAAACATTAAGTACCACAATATGGGCTTCACAAGATACGGAATAGAAAAATACCTTGCACCGCTGTGCAACATCTTGTGCTGCAAGCATGGCTGCATATGGTGAAGACTCATCCCTATCAGCTTTGACTTTCATGCCTCCTGCACCAGGTGGAAAGGGGAAGTTACATCAATTAACCTGTTTGAAAGTTTATGCACAGAGTGAAAGGAAATAAAAAAAGGTTGTATAACAAGCCATTAGACATGCATGATCATAACTGACAATGTCCCAACTCCTAAGATTCAGGAACAACCAATGCCAGTGGCATAAATCAATTGATTATCCAAATCAGTGACTTAAAAAGAAACCCCCTATGACAGAAAAAAAAAATACACTTATATGCTAGTTACTGAATAAGCATGCACAAGTAGAAGGTAAAATATGAATGAACAAAATGCCCTCGTCACATTTAATGCAACCTGAATAGAAAACAATAGACTTAACAGAGGTGTGCATAGACTGGTAGTGGGCTAGTGCTTTGGGGATACTTGCAACTGACAATGTACTACAAAAATCACTTGAGAGGCAGTATCACTCATTACCTTCTAGAACAATACAGCTAAATTATGTTTATTAATGGGAGAAGATAATATAAACTATTGAATCCAGTGAATCTATTTCCCTCAGAAATACTTGAGCCTGCTAGAATAGAAATAGGAAAATCTTCTGTTGTATACCATGGTTAGGACAAAGAAATGTAGTAGAAGAATAAATAGTTATTCATCTTAATACTATTTCTACTCCCTAACAAATTAGGGGTGCCATGGCTGTGTCATGGGAAAATACAATTTCTCAGCCAACTCAAAAGAGAAGTTTCACTTTTTCTACCAAAATTGATAAACAGGCATGATACAAGCAAAAACCATTAAGATGTGCTGTAGCTGTATCATGGGAAAATATAATTTCTCAGCCAATTCAAAAGAGAAGTTTCACTTTCTTCTACCAAAATAGATGAGCAGACGCAATCCAAAAAAAAAACACCAAGATGCAAACCCATACCAGTAATTCGGACAATGGTTTCTCTTCCTGACAAATCAGTCACATGCTGCAATAAAAACCTCATGTTGATAAGACTTATAGGAAGATGTATCGCGAAACAAGTAATGTAATAACACTTACAATGAATGTGTCATTAAATGATGCAAAAATGTGGGCAACCCCAAAAACGTTCTCCCCCTCTCGGACAGATGGTCCAAGTGTCACATTCTCCTCCTTGGGTTCCCTGACCTTCCTTCTAGACTGTAGAACCAAGAAAATAAATCAAAGATACATAAATAAACAGAATATGAGTGGGATTGTGTCTTTTTGTGTTTTGTAATTAGTATCATACACATGGCATTCTCAACTGGGGAACAAAGAAGGTAAAACAAATTTACATAAATGCACTGACTTATGTGTTTTTCCTTTATGTTTTCATATCATCTGGCATAGCATTCAAGATTATGCTTCTTTATTCAAAAAGTTTAACCTGAGGATTGCAATAACCAAAGGCCAATAAGATCAAATGCCTAAACCATGTTACAAACTTAATCTTCAAAAAGAGACATCGTGTATCAGGTCAACAAAAAAGTGTGGTTAATGATGCAAGTTGCCCAGAGCCATCACATAGAATATCACAACATATTCAAACCCCAACCCCAAAAAGATACATATAGGCAATCATATCAATTCTGCACATGTCAAAAGGGCAATAATAATAATTGATTCCTCATTATGTCAAACTGCATATTTGACATATATCAAAAGTTCAAAGGCAATATATAATTTGGAGATATGTAGAGATTGTGATTTAATTGCACATAATTCTAGGTTCTATTTATATTAGTCGAGTACTAAGTTTCTACACTGCAAATTACTCAAGTGCTAAATGAGCTCATGTTTTTTGAGATGGTAAATGAGTTCATGTTTTTAAAAGGAACAATTAGAAAGAAGCAATATGAGAAATTGAATGCCGAGAGAAAGAACGTTCCGACTAGAGATTCAGATAAATACTCCAGAAAAAGTGAAAAAAAAACGTGGAGATTGTGAAGCTTGCTTGATATAACAGAAACTTCAAATAACGATATAGCAGCAAAAACATTAAATGGTGGACATCGTCCATTCTGCCCAGAAAATAAAACGATACCTACTAAAACCCTTAACCACTAAATAGCCTATACGAACCACAAAATCTGAAATCAATCCTTAGAAAGAGAATAGTAAGTTTCGTTAGGGAAATCAGACACGAATTTACAAAAAATAACCAAACGACTGTACAATATTAGAACAAAATGAGTGAACTACATCAAACATTTAAACTAGATTCGTCTGAATACCAAAACAACCAGTTTGTAGATCTGAAAAGCACGACTGTATTCATCTTAAAAACTTAAACTTTCTCACGTAAAGGCTCTCATTTTCGACGAGGTAAACATAAAGATTGACTAACAAGAGATACAGCGACAATCAAAGCCAAGAGAAAACAAAGAAATTATTCTAAAGCAAGAGATTGCGGGTCGAAAATTAACTAACCATGGCTGAACACGACTGGGATGAAACGAGAGTTAGGGTTTTGACTGCTGCTACTTCGTCCTTCGCAACCCGAACCAGCAGAGGAAGGAGCTCTCTGAACGGCTTTCTTTTATATCGGGGATTAGGGTTTATGCTACCCTACGAGGATGAAAGTGAAAATGTGAAATGACAGAAAACCCCTGTTTTTCATTTATTAACGAAATTGTACGATCTAATTATGAGGTGGGTCTGATGATCTGGGCCTATGGACTTTTATTTTTTTGGTAGAATGGGCCTCCCAAACACTTGGACCTTGGGACATGTCCAGCCAACCCAAGCCCAGTACAAAACTCAGGCTGTGTGAGACAGGTTTGGTCGAGCCTGGGAAAGGTCAGCTGGCGAAAGTTTGGTTCAACCCAAGCTTTACTCACACCGATCTCACAGCACGTACGTTGCAGTAGTACATCTTGTTATTGATGTAAGTTGTGTCAGGTATGATGATGTATGGAAAAATCTGAAAGATTGAATAATTTTATTTATTGATAAATTAATAATCAAAATTTTCTGTTAATTAACTAAAAGTATTCAAAGTTATTGTTAATATTTAAAATTTTAATAATTGTATTTTTCATTTAATATTGATTTATAGAAAATAACTATTGTTAATTTTATATAAACAAATATTTTTTAACAAATTTAATTTTATTAATCATTTATAGTAATTTTAATAACTTATCATTTTTCATTATTTCTAAATGAAATTTTGGTTGATTTTAAATAAATAAAAATAATTACAAAAGCTAACATTTTTATTAATAAAACTAATAATTAACAATTATAAAGAAATGGCAATGGAGCATATTCGGGGTGGGACACTCCATCCTTGTAATCAAGACACTCTACCCCACCCCACCGTATCCCCAATGTTAGGTGGGTTCAAGGCAAGGCATCTACTCCCTATTAGGGACAGGGAATCATCGAATTTTCTCCCCTCATCTCTAGTGTCAAGCGGGTTCGAGGCAAGGCACCCACTCCTCGTTAGGGATGGGGAATCTCCAAATTTCCCTACTCTGTCCTCAATGTCGGGTGAGTTCAAGGCAAGACACCCACTCCTCATCAAGAATGGAGAGTCCTTGAATTTCCGTACCCTATCCCCAATATTGGGTGAGTTCAAGGCAAGGTACCCACTCCCCATCAACCCAATATTCAATTTGATGACAAAATTGATCAAAAGGATATACTAAAAATCATCCACATGGTAAATTTCTAAAAGTACACTAAATTGTCTTTAATTTTCAAAAATATAATTTTATAAAAATTTTGAAAAATTTATTACATTTGTGTAATTTTGAAAATTTATTCATATTTATTTTTAAATTGTTATTAAATAATTTATTTTATTTTTAAACGATTTGCTTACAAAATTACACTAACTTATCTTATATTTTCTAATATAAACTAATCAACAATTTTCTTTTTCCAATATTATACTAATTTATCTTAATAATTTGTGTAATTATTGGTTCAAATTACAGTTTTCCCTTTCCCATACTCATTTATCTTTAATAATTTACAATGAAAATTACATTTTTTAATAGTTTTCCAAAATCTATCAAATGTAATAAATTCTCCTAAAATTTCAAAAGTAGTCCAACAATTTTTAATAATTATTTAAGACATTTTAAGTAAACACTCAAAAATTTTATATCTTTTAATTTCCAAAATTTTATTTTACAAAAATGTAGTTTTATGAAATTTTTTGAAAAAATTATTGAATTTTTGTAATTATGGTGATTTATTGAACATTATTAAATATTTATTTTTATTAGGTAGTTTATTAACAAAATTACACTAATTTATCTTTTATTTTCCAATATAAATTAATTAATAATTTCATTCTCCAACATCCCCCATCTACATTCGGTTATTAACCATAATAATAGCAATAACTAAAATTTTATACTTTTTGATAATTGTTAAATATAATTCTCAATTTTATAGAATTAGTTAAAGAGTTTTCAATTTCTTTAAATTGTTGTTAATTAACATGAATATAACAGTATTTACCCAAAATACTTTAAAAAGTCATAATAAGTTAATTAATAGCAATATTTATTAATTTTTGGTAATTTACTAACCATATTTATTCTTTTTGTAAAACCAATATTTAATATTCAATGAATATGAGTTGGATTAAATACTAACAGTATTTAATTATTTATTAATTGATATGAATATTTTAAGTGAGAGGGAGAGTGGATATAAATTGGGGAGAGAGATTTTAGGAAATGATTAGGGAGTGGGGTAACATGATAAATTCCTAATTAATGGCTTAGAAGAGATTGAAAGGGATGGTAGAATCCATATGGACTTCAATACTGATGCGGAATTATCACAACCAATATTTTATATTATTATGATTTGTTATTAAAACCAGAAACTCAGACCTAGCAGATTTTGAAATAGCCATATCTTGAACTTAGGTCACCTAGTTAAAGAGATAGATCTTGGAGATCTATAAGATTATTCGATCAAAATGAAACATGTTCTTATAGAAAGGAGATATTGGACGGAGGAGACGTTGCAGGAGAGAGGAGTGAAGCTTGTTCTTTTGGTTGTTGGATGGAGAAGACGTTGCAGCACAGAGAGGAACAAAGCTTGTTTTTCTGGCTGTTGGACGAAGGAGACGTTGCAGGACAAAGAAGAGAGAAGCTTGTTCTTGCAAAGAAGAGACCGTTGGACGGAGAAGGGAAATTTTACATCAATTTTATCGACATACAATTTCCACTTATTTTCGATGAAAATATTGATACGAATGAAATTTTACATTGATTTACAAGGTACATTAACACTTCTACCAAATGCATGTAAAACGGTGTAAAGTTTACCCGGTTCTCATTTACACATCAAACAAATCGTCGCCTTAGGTGATTTATATTGTATAATACAAAAGAAAGTGAAGGCTGTTTAACCATCAAAACTGTAACATGTTAACACCTGAATAACTATCGCCATCGCCAGGGAATTGGTTTTCTAAAGGTTAAAGTAGGGTTGTTCATAAGAATGCCCAACCCGAGTCAGCCGGGTTTTCATCCGTACCGGTTGGTTTCGGGTTGGGCACATAGATAAACCGAAATCTCGGGTCGGTTTTGGTTTTCTTGCGTAAAAACCAAAACCAACCCAACCCGAACTGAACTAGTATTCTACTAGTTTGGTAGTTCCTACTTCCTAGTTTGAGTAGTTTCCTAATTCCTAATAGTCTTCTATTTTTAAACTTTTATTAGAACTAGAACTCTAGAGGGCCCATTATGCAATTACAATTAGAATTCAATTAAGTGTCATTTTTTAGTTTTTTACCTAGATTAGAATTTAGAAGGTTTCTAAATTTTTATTTTATTGATTTACCTACCTAGATTTACCTATTTTTTTACTCTAGAAGGCCCATTATTGACACTTGTTTTTACATGAAAAATTTATTGATTTTATTCTTTACCTGAATTAAATTTACATTTATCTTAGACTCTTGAATATCAAATTATTAACTAATTCAGATTTTATTTGGCTTTGTACAGGAGCAAAACCGAAACTGACCCAAACCCGACTCAAACTGACCAGGTCGATTTGGCCTGTCAGTGGGTCGGTTTCGGTTCCCACCTTAGCTAACCCGACTAGGTCGGGTCGGTTGGGAAAATCCCAAGAAACCGACCCAACCCGACCCGTGAACACCCCTAGGTTAAAGAAGACTTTCGCGTTTCCTGTAAAATTACAAAGAATAATACAGATTTCTTGAAGTCTACTGACCTGCATCGTCCCATTTCATGACATAAATCAATTTGTCTGGATTGGACGGAGGAACGAGACATATTGAATTGGACCATTAATCCAGTTTTAATGGTCCAAAGTATTTATTAGACTGGATTGGACCTGGTCCATCCGTAATGAATTTACATTGGATTGGGTTGGATTGAACAGCCTTACTTTTTTATTGGACAGTCTAGACATTGAATTGGATCGGTCCAAAATATTCATTGAATTGAATTGGACCTGATCCATTTGTAATGGACTCATATTGGACTGAATAGGATTGGGCCAAATCCAGTCCAATTGACACCCCCCGTAGACTCATCTCCATGATATCTATCTATTATTTTTATTTTTACATTTTCATTTTAAAACCAAAAACAAACTTTATAAATACAAGAATAGCAATTTTAGTATAATTAAAATTGTTTCAATCAGTGCACTTCAGTAACTACCTCTTTCAGAAACCTATTTGCAAATATGAATTCATGAAGTTGGATGTGTTCAAGCAAAGTGACATCACAGTCTTCCTCAGTCTTATCTATGCTACACCGTTCACCGTCCACGTGTAACAGAAGAACTAGTCTTTTATTTAGGCTGTGTTTGGAATCAATGCAATTCCTTAAGAGGTGTTTTTTGAGAAAACAATACTGCATTGGCATGTCATTTTTTCAGAAAATATTTTTTCTTTTCTTTTTTTTTTTCTGTTTGAGACCATTGCTGCTGGTGCCACATAGGCATTTTCAATGCCATGTCAGCACACTGTTGCTATCAAAAAACGAAAAAACAGCAGAAAGTTTGTTTTCTCATACCACACCTTTCCTGATTTCCAATGTGGTCCAAGTAAATGATTTTTTTGGAAAAATGCATAACCAACATCTCATCAAGTGTGGTCCAAAAAAATGGATTTCAGATGTGGCACCGTTTTCCAGAAGGATTTAGAGATGTGCGCTCAGTGAGATTTAGTTTTGATCGTGAGAGATGAGTACAAAAAGAATGAATGGGTGTTGTGAAATAATTGTAGTTAGGTGTTATAAAAGTTAGAGGTAAAAGATTATTTGATAATTTCTTCCTATTGCATGATGAATTTTCTTTAACCATGGATGTGAATTGTGGAAGAGAACCAAATTTGAAATTTGAAGCAAAGGGTTGCAGTGGTGCCAGGTGCTGAATGCCCACAAGGAATTAGGAGAAAACATGTTTTTGGCAGGGTACATTAAAGTGGTAAGAGTTGAAGACATTTTGAGAAGTTGGATGTCAAGACAAAAAGAACACTCAAACTGAGGAACCAGCAATTGAAGAGGAATGGAAACTGAAAAGACAGAATAAAATGGTGAAACAGGATTTGTGTAACCCATCGCATGTAGTTAGAAGTTAGAACAGAGATTTTTCCAATTGTTATCTTTAAGGAACTCCGCAAATTTCCTGAACTTTGCCTTAAATTTAAAATCAAACCAAATACAGCCTTAGTTAATAAGTTGTTAAGGAGGTTCAATGGCTGAAGATGAAGCTATACTCTTGAATATTTTATTTTCTAATTACAATTGTCTTGTCCACTACAAGACAAAGCAATAAACCATTCAGTTCAGCCACTTCAGCCATTATCAAAAAGTCCCATATTCATCTAAGGTGAGGTGTAAAGACTATAGGAAGGTCCCTGTGCCGAGCAACTTGCCATCCTTTCCACTGGCAACTTCCAGCATAAATAGCTTATAGCTACTTGAGTCATTGGGGATAAATCATAAATCCATAATATATCAATTCATGGAGCTTTGAATTTGAGGCCATTTCTACATGGCCAATGAAACAGGATCCCATCAAATGACACTCTATATAGCCCAAGCACCAGGGGATGTTTGGCAACACGAATGGTTTTTCTTTTTTAACTCATGTTGCAGACAGAGGGGAGGAGGTTGTTCCCAGTCTGTTATCTTTCAATTCCTTTCAATCCCACATGATAAGCGTAGAATTGAAAGTTTTTGTCATGAGCAATGACAGAGATATAGTGAAGCTAAATAAATCCAAAAGATTTATGGAGGAACTGGTTTATGCATTACATCGCAAGTTAACAAATTAATAAATTACACTGCTCATAAGTTCCTCTTCCCCCTAACCAATTAGATAAATAAGTAAAGCTGAAAAAACAAGCTCATAAGAATGGAGCAAGTTCACATTATGGGAAAAAGAAGGCTATTATGTATAATACTTTACATAATGTTAAACTAAAACATACACAACATCATTTTCTTGATGTGAGCAGGGAATAATTCAGTCCTGTTCTCTACAACTCCAAATACAAACCTCCAACTTGATCTGCCCATTACAACCACAGAAATTACAAGGAATCAGAAGAAAATCCACAATAGAACCTTCCAGCTGCCCTGTAGTGCACTTTGTAAAAGATTGTAATCTAAGGGAACAGCCCTCTCTTCTTGATATAAGATCATACAAGAACCCTTCCTTTGGAGATCTTGGACCAATACAAGTCACGGAGAGTGCATTTCCAATGAGCTCAGTCTTGTTATTGAGGATAAAGAGAACACCGTCCTCCTCCCCTTGAAAAACAAGGAGCTGCCTATTTTTATCTAAAGATACAGGAAATGGGCAGTTGTACCGGAAGCATCTGACAGAATCCCAATGTACGTGACTGACATGTAGTGACAATTGTTCAAATGACCCATGGAAGTTGCAGTCTGAAAGAGGGCATGCACATGGTGCATAGATGCATGTCTCCTCATGGGTGTGCTTCTCAACATAGCTGATCATTTCTTTGCACCCATATGGTGCATTTTGGCAGGATACTTTGATTGATTCGACCACCTTTTCAATGGCAAGGCAGCGGTTTTGTTGAATAGGCCGGCAACAGGAGGGGCATTTGTCCTCAAGTTTGGAAGAGCATGAAGAACAAGCTATATGCCCATTGTTGCACTGAATTCAATTACCATATATTAGGTGCAAAAACATCCAGATATTGGCTCTTATTCATGTTATGTAAGTACATAATTGCTATACATCTAGTCATAGCTCTCAAGGTATTAAGTCAAGGCTGAACAACAATGGGGCACTTTGTCACATAGGCTTTCTCACCTAGGCATTGCTTAGTCAATGATATATATATATATATATATTATAAGAATCTGGGTGATTTTAGCTTGTTTCCCTATTTTTACGAGGTAGATTGTTTTACTAGTTGGTGTATCATCTACAAAATGTTAAAAAATGATCTAATAAATCTCCATTCTATGGATACAAGAGGGGAGATACAGAGAAAATATGTATGTGTGTCTTAAACCAAAGAATAAGAGAGAACAAAATTGAGAAGGGACAGAAACCTTGTAATTTTGAATACGAGGAGAGAATGAAAGATTTGTTAATTTTAAATAAAAAGGAGATCTTATTCGAGGAGAGGAACCTTGTAACTAGAAAATGTTTAATGTTGATTGCCACTAGATGGGTTTGAGTTTAACAATCTCTCCAGACCCCTTGTTGATTTAGTTGTTGGGATGCCTTGTTCAGTAGTTTCTTGTCAGGTTTATCTCTTTTGGAGGTTTGACCTCGTTTTGTTGTTTTATGGATTTACGCTGCAGAGTCCTCACAAGCTCTCTCTCCCAGTGCTTAGGATTGGTATCTTTTTTTCAGCAGATTGGTTGATAATCTGTACTTATTTCTCCATTTTTTGTCAATTTCTTGGACTTTTCTGGCTGATAGTGATTGTAATATCTTGTATTCTGAGCATGTTTTTAATGAATTCTGCCACATATGGCTTCTCTCAAGAAAAAAAAAAGAAAAATGTGATATGCTTTAACTGCATTAAATTTAAAATCGTTATACCTCTCATATGAAAGCACTAGGTGAGACAAAAAGCAATACCTAGAAAAAGCTTTATTGGTCAAGCACAAGGTGTCACAGGTGAATTGGATGAACCATACCCCAATTATTAGCATGTCCTATATCACATTTTTGGAAAGGAGTTCCAAAAAACAACAAACGATGAGCATCAAGATCCTAAAGAATCAATTAGAGCGTAATGATAGTTGGCCTAGTTAGCAAATTCAAAACATTAGACAAGTGAACCCACAAATTCCATGGAAATGTAAACCACATTCAAAGACCAGGTGTAATGACATCATTTTCTGAGCGAAAGAACTCCAAAAGGAAAAGAGAATAAGGTTTGAAACTTTGATACACAATAAACATGAAATTAATTGATTGGAAACAAGAAAGTTATGAGGATCAGATGCACAAAAGAACAGAGAATCCAGCATGTCAAGAGAGGTAATTAATAGTCAGGGAAGACCGGATCTTTCCTAATTGGTTACTACTTACTACTACAGATTCAGTATATCCAGGACAGAGGAAACAAGTAGATTAACATTGATTTTGATCTACAGAAAGAATTTCAACTGGGAACCAACTTTATGGATCGTATGATTGATAAAACCATTTATCCTACCATCTACCGTATAGGGAGAATGCACGGGTTGACATCAAATCTGAAATAAGAAATCTAACAGAGATCAAACCAAGCCATTCACAAAACAAATCAAACTCTAATTGGCGAATACCCATATCTGAACGAAATGCACTGTTACAAGGCAGGATGGTTGGGTTGAACAGACCAATTATGCCCCAGTTCAAGAAATAAAATTCCTCCACTAAGCAACTAGAAGCAGAAGTGAAAAGGGTATTCAAACTAAACCAAGCCAAGCTTATCCAAATCCTCAAATTTAATGGAAAGACATTAATTGCTTGAGATGAGAAGAATTCATGGCTAGACAATTTTTTCTTGTTTTGCCAAGCTTGCATAAGTGAAACGTTAACGGTAGATAAGAAGAGACTGGTAATACCTGAAAGACAGGAGGGGTCAAGGGTTCCAAGCAGATCGGGCAGTCCAACACTTCTGGGTCGATCAGGGTGACCGAGATGCCCGGTCCATCTTTACTTATTCCAACCGAATCACGGTGAGGGTATCTCGTACATCGCCTAACTTTTCTCTCATCTTCCTCTCCTCCTTCTCTCCTCCTCTTTGGACTGCTCGGTCCCTCGCCATCGTCTTCCTCTCCACCCACCGAGAATTTGGCCATCCTTAGTTTTCAGTTAGATTGTCTTTTGCCCACTGTTTCTTCCTGCCGGTTAGAAATGAGGGGAGAGGAGACTGTTTATTGTTGAATATACAAAACTACCCTCAACCTTTGCCATGAATTTCGAAAACACCCTTTTTTCCCTCTTATACAAATCCATCTCCGACCACATATCTAGAATACTATTATACTAATGTGGGTTCCACCTCTATAAATCATGGATGCACCTGTATAAATGCACCCTCCAACGGCTAACAACGGACTCAGTTAATTCACCTTGGATCACTATTGACCTTCCAATCAAGGCTTTGAGCCTTGAAGCTGTGACTAAAAATTTGAAATTATTTTGAGAAGATTTTTCAGTGTAAAGGGATATTTTTCACATATGGAAGAAGTAAATTTGCACTCCAGTTCGGTGTAAAGGGATATTTTTCGCAATCAAGAATGTCTTTTTGTACTAAAAATGAGAGCAAATTTGTTTTCTCACTGTTTTTATATTAGAATTAAACGGAAATTTGGTCAACGTAAGATAAATTGATTCCAGCCTTGAGATCAATCTTTGCACCCCATCACAATTCACAACCAAATAAGACTCTCAAGATTTATTAAGTGCAAAACCAAACTGACTTTGCGCCTGTAGTCATTGACCAAATTTGCATTCACATCGGTGTATCTTCCTGCTTGGTGGCATACTATTTTTGTACCTGTTCTCATTTAATGAATGATTGACTTTGTTAAAAGAGGGGGTTACAGATTCCTCCCCTCAGAAACATTTGGATCCTCAGACTTCCAACTCCTTGGCCTCAAAAACATTTTTCCATCTGGGTCGGTCTTGTTAGTTTGGTTGAAGCAGTTTTAGAGAGAGAGAGAGAGAGAGAGAGAGAGAGAGAGAGGATTTCATAAATACTTGTTAAGTTGTTATGAGATATATTCTTTTGATGAGATGAGATTACTACTGGTTTTCTACATATATATTGAATTTTTTTACACAAAAAAGTACAAGATTGTTTTTAACCCATACAAGTACACTTTCTTGTTTTACTTTTAAAATAGCAAAAGATTGGAAAACCAATCTCTCTCATCAGAAGACAAATTAAAACAACTCAGGGAGCTGGACGCAGATAGAGGGGTATGTAGTTTGTTGGGTTGGGCATCGAATCCCAAACTGAAAAAGCACTTGTGCTTCTCATCCATTTCTTTGTCATTTCAGGGTAATGCCGATCAATTACATCCTTCAAGGTCTCTGTTTTGTTAACCCATGCTAAGCCTTGCTCGGTGTAGGTTTGCGAGTTGAAATTGGTTGTGAAGAAACGGTCTGCTTCCAGCCTCCTGTAGGAAGACAATCAGAAACATGTTTAACAAATTTAGATCAATTAGCCAAGCACCCAAATAGTTAGGCTTCCAGCCTCCTATAAACTTCAAATCTCACTCTTACCCAGAAAAGCACTGAGACGCCACACTAACCTTGATGCTATGAGAAGGAAAATGAAAAATGCAGTCTCACTAATGGCAAATCCTTTGATCTTCTTCTCTGCATGAAGACCCACAAGCAGATCAAGCTTCTCAATGTCATGTCCATATACTTCACGGAGTGCTTCAATAACTTCTTCATCATCTGTCAAATCTTCCCATTTACTAATAGGGATCATCAACAAATTCCTTCTGAACTCATTATATCGAGCCACTCCTCTTTCTCTGTCCCTATAAACTGAAAAGCCAATGCAATTCAAAGTCATTTGTCTGTACTACAAGAATAAAGAAGAGAGACAAAGTGCTAGAATTCATTACCCTCTAAGGCAGCCATATCAACTGGGTCTGCTCTATCCTCTCCATTGATATCATGGGCGACAAGGTTCCTCATCCATGATGGATAATTCCACAGTGTTACTTCTCCACATGATTGATGGCCCATTGAGACCATCATCTGCTCCATTCCAATTCTTGAAAGCCTTTTCTCACCCTCTAGCCCCACCATCTCCTTCATGGGCACCCTGAAAACAATCACTATCCCAAATTACTATTGGCAGTTTTACATTATTTTATGTGAACTCATATATAAAAGAACATTTGGAAGAGGGAGGGAGATACTCTTTTAGGACTGGTGGGCAATACTCTTCTGAAGTTGCAGTAGAATTAATGTCTCTAAGAAGGAGTGTATCAGGAAGAAGTGAATGCATTCTATAGACGCTTACAAATTCTTCAGTCAAGGAATATGGAACTCCGTGATCTCTTGGCCGTTTAAGACCCACCAATCCACTTAGAATTGGTCCACAAATGTGACCAAACAAATCCTTGAATCTCTTTCCCAAAAACCCATACCTGCACCAGTTTTTGCTTTTTGCATTAGTTTACCAAGGAGGCAAGGACAACTGTAAGAAGCTGATAAATGTGCTAAATTAAAGATGAAGGTGTGATCTACATTATGATCAAAGTTATAAAAATAAAATAGATGGGGTAGTATGTAATGCTGCACTGGACTTGAAATGCTGAAAATGGATGGCATACCAGTCTGTATCTATTTGTTCATGGCATGTTACATTTGATTTATTTGTCCATGTTTATTTGTGTAGTTTAGGCATTGATCAATGGACACAGCATCACAGTTCCTGAATCCTTTATGCTTATTCCCATGACTTATTTGACTCCTACATACTTGATCTTGAATGGTGATCCTAACCCTTGATTCAGGTCTTCACAAAGCTTCAAGGAATCTTAATTGTTCTAGCTTTGCTCAATATAAAAGAAAATACTATCAATGAAACAATTTGCTTTATTTGTCTTACCAGTTTATCCTCATCCCTGCTAGAAGAGTGTCAGTCTTTAGGAGCTCAACAGTCCAATCAATTGTATGGATTTTAGCAATGACTGCTGAAGTCACTAATCTGGCATGTTGGTATAGCTTCTCATCATCAAAGTCAGGGTAGTGTTCCTAAAAGCAAACAATTATCTATTAAAAACAAAAAGTGAAACTGTATAAATTATTATTTTATTATAATTGATGATGATGGTATAAAGGAGTACTTTCTTTCTTCATTTAAAATAGCATATTGATATATCAGTTTGGCTTTCAAGCCAAGACAAATCACTTAAAGTGTTATATATAGATCAGGGTCATGACATAAACAGTCAGCATAATATTTTTCAAAATTTCATGCTCTTTTCTAACATGTTAGATGCAAATGGTTTTCATGGCAAATTGGACACATGTTATATATGTATACAACTATAGACTTACTTTGAGCATATCACAGACAGTATTATGTTCTTTGACAAATAAAGCTTGCAGAAGGGAGAAGCCAGCCCAACAATTTCGAACATCTCCAGAGATTGGGATTCCTTTTTCATCATGTTGAAGGAGTCCATCCTCTGAGATCTTTAGCTTTCCATCTTTGAATGCTCTTACTCTTCTCATGCCCTCCTCGTTATTCCCATAAATTACACTCCCATCCCTAATCACAAAAAGAAAGAACTTTAAGACCAAACACATTTAAGTGGAAATTAGATAACAAAATTTATGAAGTTAATCGCAGTATAAAGGCATGGAGAAAGAAAATTAGCAGTATAATGTTAGCAAAAGAGAGTATCTATCACAGGACAAAAGGTTTTTATTATAAATTTCTAACCAGGTTTTGGGAATGTAAACAATCACTTGTGGTGCATTTTAAAGATGAATAATATAATGGGGTTAACTCTGGCTTAAAAGAAAAGAAAGAAAGAAAGGAAAAGTTTAAACAGTTAAAGGCTACGAGTCTATGACCAGTATAGATATCTAGATAAATAAAATCTAGTGATCACAGGATATATTTAAACCATAAAAGGGAGCAGTACAGGATAATCCAGTCAGTGGAGGTCCTGTATAATTTGTCAAAATGAACTAGTCATCTGGATTAACTACCAAGATCAGTTGGTTGCAATCCAAAGCCACTGGGTTCTTCTTCTGGTCTCTAAGCATCACCATTTGAAGTTCAGAAAGCCTGCATTTAGGTTCTTTGGTACTTTATGCCAAGATTAAAGCACTTTGAAGGATTAAACTACTGTAAAAAAGAACATTAATAGTACAGATAATTATATTTAATGCATAAGTAGTGAGAAACTTTAAACCGTTGAACATACCACCAAGGAGTCCTTGTATTCAAGAAGCCAGTCTTCACATCAGCTGAACCCGTTTTGACTTCTTTACTTCTGAGAAACTTGAATGATTTCAATGGGCATTTTTCTGCAACACTATCAGGAGCTCTAATTTCCACCTACATAGAATCACTAGTCAATCATCTTATCTCACTCACTTGAGAAATCATGTCTTTAAAATTTATCTCATTAACTATTATAATAAACTGGTGACTAGATCTGATCATTAGAATTCTGTTAAAATAGAGGATCATAATTGTTCAGTTAAGACTCTTAGCAGATGGTGGTTTTAAGGTCATGTTCTAATTAATACTCTGATTATTGATCAGATGGATGGATACAAACATACATTTCTATAATGCCCAACCATTTTGAACTATCATGTGAGTTTTCCAGAGGTTTCATAGTTGAACATATAACACAGCAGAAAGTCCATTAAAGTTGAGATGCCACTATTTGATAGAGAACTAATTGCTGAAGACTGCATAAGTTTTACATTTTTACCTGCTGGGTTTCCTCCAAATGATCAATCCAATCATGAATCATAAACTGTATCCAGGAGCAAGCAATCAAATTGAATTGTTTCCCATTATCTTTGAACTTCTTCCTTGCCAAAAGCTTTGTTGCTACAACTGTGGGGTGGGGATCAAGCAACTGCATATGACACTGTTAGATTACTAGCAACAACCGTATGAAGAGGAAGCCTACATACTCATCATGACTATATCCACATTGTACAGGCTTGATGGTTTCAAATGAAGTATATAATATATGTGTGCACAAAAAGCAAAGAATTACTCGCTAATAAGTAGAATTGTAAAACAATGCTTGGATTTAATCTTTTTTGTTCCTCATTTGGAATTTGGAGGACAAATAAGTATAAAATTTATTTTATGCTTTATGTCCATTACCTATAATGAAAGAGAGAGTTTCATTCCCCCATTTGGTCAATGGTCAAAATTTTAAATTCCAATAATATCTTTAATTTTTGTTTTTCTCACCTCTGTCCTTAATTGTTCAACTCTTTGGGTTTATTTTATAATTTGGCTAAAAGGCATATGAACTTATGTATTAGGTCTTAAATATAATAATATTTTGAAATTTATGTAAAGGATAATTGATGGTTTATGTGTTTTTAACATGTTTCAATAAAATAATTGCAAAATCTGATGTTTGTATATGTTATTTTACTTGTTTATATATGGAATAATAGGAAATGAGATGTGAGTTTTGGATCCAACCCACCAATCTGATCTACCCACCCACCCTCAAATGTGGAGAGGGTTTTGCAGTTTTATGTGCGGGGAGGGTCTGGGTCTGGATTATAAAAATCCAACCTACTACAGGTTTTAAGGAGGATAGGGATTGGGAGGTCTAGAAAAGTAGAGAGGATTTAGAATTAAAAAACCCTCACCAAATACATGCGAATGCACTTGTCACTCAACTAAAGCATGCCGATAGAGCGATATGGGGAACCCATCTGCATTCAACATTCAACATTCAACATTCAAGGAAGGCAACGTCCCAAGAGTATAGCCATCAAAATAATGTCAGGACGGTGAGAAACTAATTGGTATTAAATATGATCGAGACATCTCATTCAATCATGAACCAATCTGCACTGAGATAATATGGTAAGTGTCAGATACCATGGACTAGCTAGCACGATTAATAAATAAATAATGACCCCGGCCCTGAGGCCATTTCTTGTCCGGGGCTCCCTTGATGCTGACTTGGTGAGTCTCAATCTATGAAAATTCATTAGCTCTATAACCCTGGAAATTGTTCCTGCCACATGGAGGAATGACGTGGTAGATTTAGATACCCATGTCACCCCTATTAGGGGTGTTCATGGGTCGGGTTGAGTCGGTTTATTGAGGTTTTCCCAACCGACCCGACCTGGTCGGGTTACTTGAGGTGGAAACTGAAACCGACCCACTGATAGGCCAAACCGACCTAGTCGGTTTGAGTCGGGTTGGGTTGGTTTCGGTTTTGCTCCTGTACAAAAGGACACCTAATTGAATTTTAATTGTAATTGCCTAATGGGTTGCCTATTTGGTATAAAAGACTATAGAAAGTTAGAAACTATAATAGATTGCCTATTCTAATTATAATTGCCTAATGGGCCTTCTAGTTCTAGTAGAAGACTAGTTATAGTTAAGTAAGAAACTACTCAAACTATGAACTACCGAACTAGTAAAAGACTAGTTAGGTTCAGGTCGGGTTGGTTTCGGTTTTCACACAAGAAAATCGAAACCGACCCGATATGTCGGTTTATATATTTGCCCAACCCGAAGCCGACCGGTACTGATGAAAACCCGACCGACTCAGGTTGGGTCGATTTGGTCGGGTTGGGCATTCTTATGAACAGCCCTAACCCCTATTTCTTTCTCTGAATAAATCAACCACATATATATCCATGAGAGAGAGAGAGGGGATGCATCCTAATTCCTAATCATTTCCGTGTGGTAATGTGGGTTAAACTCATATGAGCAGCTCATTGAAAGCTGAAGCCCTTCCAAACAGGCCCTAATTTGATTTATTTTTCAAATTTGCCCAGTTGCAACTTTAAATTTAAATTCTCTATTTAAAAATTGTATTGTTTTTCTACAGCTCAATAATAATTGCATAGGTATTTTGAACATTTTTGTGTGTCTTGTTACTTATATGGAGATGATTGTAAATTTGTAATTATCGAAACTTCAAAGGAGATTTCAGCCATGGTTTAACGATTGACCTGGGAATGATAACCGGTTTTGCTTCACCCTAAAACCATTCATCGGCCAAAAACCATTGATTTGGTCAACGACCGGTTGAACGGGACGGTAACACCATTTTTAATTAAAATAGGCCATTTGTTCAAACCAAAACGGTTGAACCGATCAACACAGGAACCGGTTTATAAAACCTTGTTTTCAGCAATTTACGATATGAATTCAAAGAAAAAAAAAAAAGAAATAATAATGTAACACAAGACAAGTAACTCCAATATAATATATGTAGCTGGAGCTGTTGCCTTTATTCATTCTTGTGGAAAGGCACGTGTATACAAAAAGAGCCGGAAAGCTGTTTTTAACTGTAGTCCTGAACTTCATGGAAGAGAGAAAGAATGAGCTGAATTAAAACCAACCTGAATATTTATTTGCAATAAAACCTACCTGAATTAAAACTGAAGTCCTGAACTTCATGGAAGAGAGAAAGAATGAGCTGACGTAAATCTCTTATTCTCCACGAATTATCCATCGATTGGGGGAGAATGCCACCTGGCTAAATTGGTAAGGGCCTTGACTGGTTGTAGGCTTGTAGCGGAGACTTGGGCTCATTAGCTAGAACCCTTTTTGATAAGGGATATGGTTAACTCGTTAAGGGACAGACGCTCTCAAATCACAAAAACCATATATATACTTCTTATCCTCTTAATTAGTTCTGCTCAATAATATAACTGATAGAGATCAGGCTGTTTCTTGGGTAGAAGCTTACCAAAAGAAGAACAAGTGTGTGCGAGAGAGAGAGAGAGAGAGGTGTAGTTTAATTATGATGAGAAGAATTAAACCGGACCTTGTAGTGTGAAGTTGAGGGAGGCATGTTCCGACCAAAGAAAGTTCCCTGACTGCCGATCAAGTCGTCACTGGGATGGTTGCATTTCCCGTCGGCCGTCCGGTAAGAATACTCTTCAGTGTCGTATCTCCGGCCACTGACTCCGCCCACATGTAGAAGATTGTAACGCTGGTGCAAGTGCCGTCTGAGCCCAAGGTAAGCCAGCCCCAATAAAACCGGTAGCCTATGCCATAACCCCAACTTATCCATCACATGTATAACCTATATATATATATAGCAGCCAACACAACACACTTCTTAATAAAAACCAAACAATAACTAGCTAATCAAAGAAGTTAAGGGTTGTTAGGGGATAAGAAGCTGATACTAACATAGAACAAGATACGGTCAAAGAGAGACATCTTGGCCACGATTGGCCGGAGGTGAGGATGAACGAAGCCAGCTGCGGTGGAGGAACAGGATGATTCTTTCATGGTGTTTTGGGTTTTCAGAACCATTCCAGTTTCTAAGTGAATGAGAATGAGAATGGTTTGGGGAAGGGAGGCTCAGCAATTTAAAGAATTTGTATCGTTATTAATTGATAATGCAGTCACCATGTTGCCACGTATCTTAATAACCTGCCAACTTTACGTCTCTGCCATCCTTATTAAAGAAGCATGAGAGGCATTTCCCAACTCCCAAGTGTTGACCCGGCCGGATTACAACTCTTGGAAATGTGGGTTTTTAATTTGAAGGATGAATCAACGTTCTAGAATGTTCAGATTACTGGACGACGAACCCAGTTTGACTCAGTACAGTGCATCGTCAATTTGACGCTTAACGGATACTGTTTTCCGACTCGGAACTGATTTGGGCACGTCCAGTTTTTTATCAACCAGGCACATTTAAATGATAATATATTAAGATAAAGGGTAAATGGATCTGACAACCCTTGTAATATTCTAAAAAGGGCAATTTTTCCATCGACTGAAAAAGGTTAATTTAGATTCTAGACTTAAAATAATGCCAATCGAAAGCATGTTAGTGATGCCGTTTATAATATGTTAAATAATGAATGAAATAATAGAAAATGTTGATGTGGCATGGTTAAAATAAAAAAAAAAACTAAAAATTTACAAATAAATCTTGCTCAATAAAATGAAAAATTATTTAATATATAATTATAAATATTAAAAATAATATATAAGTGGATCCCCTCTCTCTCCCCTCCAAGTCCACTTCCTTAGCTTCCATACTTGACACGGGCAATTTCATACTTTATCATTCTAATGGGAATATTTGACGACATACACCCTTTTGCCAGGCCAAACTTTATTGACCGTGGTGAAACTAAAATCTAGCATCTCAAAATCAAATCATTCAACCAACTGACAAGGATACAACCCTGAGTTGTCTTCCCTCTCTCTTATATCTAAGCAATGAAAACAACAGAGCATATGTGTTTGGGACCACGAATTCTCCACCCAAGGAAGCTCGGTCTATTATCAATTTAAGGACCAGTGGGGAGGAGGCGACCATCTTTGCTAGATAGATTGACAACAGTGGCTCCCACCTTGTTGATGAAAAAAACTAAGCGCCTGTTCATTTTCTCTCAACTCTTATTTCTTAAGAGGATTTTTTTAACTTTAAGAGAAAATTTGGTGTTCGTTTTCTCTTATTTCTTAAGACTCAGTTTGGAAGGAGTATAAATACAAATATGTACAATGCAAATATAAGGTTTTGCACTCTATAGATTTGTATTTGTACTCTTTCCAAACTGAGCCTAAAGTGCAATTATACAACTTTTTGTTTTTCAATAATATCTCCAAAAAGACAAACAGTAATTCTCATATATAGGCCAAAATGGATATTTGATAATTTTTGGAATTCAAAATTCAGAACAATATTCTTTACATTCAAAGTTTAGAGAAAAGAAAACTTCACCAGTACTAATATACCTTTTGATGTAATTATTGCACTTTCATATGTCGGACTTCAGAGCAAACGAACAGTCCTTAAGTATCTATTAACCTTACCGATGATGACCATTTCAACTATTTCCATGGTGGATGAGTCAATCACTCGTAGACCATTGACAAAATTGGATTGCTAGCCGAGTTGACCAAGCATGGAGTTAATCTTGGGGATCCACCTCCATGGACAAAGATGGGATGAAGACCAACGTAAGTGTTTACAAGTATTAGAGTGAGCAGAACAATATATAATTTTCACTTCACTAATCAAATATTTATAATTGCATGCTAACTGTCTCAATAGACTGAACAAGTGGCAAGACAAGTGGGCCAGCTGGACAATCGGTCCAAGAATTATAGAATGCTCGATTAGCTCAAGAATTCTAGGATGATCATTGATGACAGATGCCTGGAGATTTTGATCCTTCATGGCTGTGGCACTGTCCTTGACGAGGATGGTCTTGCCACAGAACTTCTAGATAAATGAGAGGGATTCCACGAGGATATCTACGTGGGTTTGAGCTGCCGCTTTTGATGTTGAAGCAAGGGATGGATCTGGTGGCGATATTGTTAGTTCCGTTGTCGAAATTCATGATTCGAGAGGAGGAAAAGTGAGGAGTGAAGGAGTGGGTTTCCTATTTGAAGTGGAGAGAACCAAAGGGAAACGGGAGGCTAATGCTAGAATTAGGGTTGTTTGGATGATTGGAAAAGGAGGGAAGAGATGCAGGTGTAGGGGGTTTTGTAGTAAACATATTCTTATGTCTCTATATCTCCCACACCCCCCTTTTGTTGCTGTGTTGCGGTGTTCTCAAGAAAAAGTGAACCCCTTTTCTGCAAGTGTCTCAACTCTTAAGGTCAAGGGTTTTGGTTTGGGCTGCAACATCACTTTTATTGTCAAGTTTGATCAGGGTCAGCCAAAGAGGTTTCAAGGAAGAGTTGAGGAAGGGATCTTGTGGAACAGTCTATAAGGGAACTTTATCTAGCGACCAGGGGCAGAAGGTTGTTGTAGTCAAGAGATTACACAAGTTAATGGATGAGGGAGAACGCGAGTCTCGCATTGGGAAGATTCATCATAGAAGCCTAGCCCAATTGCTTGGTTTGGGTTGCAGCGGCTGACGAAGACAAAGGAAAGTGTGAGGAGGATGAAGAAGAAGAAGAAGGAGAGAGAGAGAGAGGACCCATGTTATTATTTTTCACTCAAAAAGGAAATTTCAAGGGGCCCCACCTATTATTTTTCTCTTAAAAGAGAAAATTTCAAGTGAAACCCACTTATATATTATTTTCAATAGTGTAACATCAGTATTTCCTATTATTTTATTTATTATTTAATGGATTGTGAATGACGTTGTTATGGTTGACATTTTTTTGAAGTCTAGGGTCTAAATTGACCTTTTTACGAAGGCAACATGACCTTTTTGGAATATTATAAGGGTTGTCAGAGTCGTTAACCCAATGGTAAATTGCTGACCTCTAAAGTTTTTAACCATTACTAAAACCTCCCTTGAACTTTCTCACACAGTTGCAAGTAGAAGTGTAAATCTGGTTGTGCCGCCCGCAGCTTGGCACGACTTTGAGCCAACTTGGCACAACAGACTATGGGTTGTGTTAGGCATAACACGATCGTATGGGTTGTGTTGGGCCTAAGGTTTTAGGTCCATGGGCCAACACGACACGACCGAGTGGGCCCATACATATTATATATAATAATTATATAATATAGAAATATATAATTTTATTTTCAACTTTATTATATTATTGTATATATAAACAATTGTATACATTAAAATTTATATAAAATAAAATTTTAAGATCTTTTTTAATTTTGTCTATTTTTTAATTTATGTTAAAATTCTCATTATTTCTTTTTTAATTTTTAAAAAACATGGCTTGACTTGGTTCATGACCTAGCTTGGCCCAAGACTCGGCTCGTGGACCAGACCGTCCCATAGCATGGGCACACATGAGCTTGGGCCGTGGTTGTGTCGAGCTAACCCTCCAAAGTATCCCAAGGGAGGGAAGCACGACCCGACTTGGCCTCTAGGCCAGCACGATACGAACTACACACGAGTTACACCTCTAGTTGCAAATAGACCTCCTCCGTTAGAATTCTAATGTCCAAAATATATATTAAGTTACTATTGAGGCTGGCTTTATGAAAAAAAGTTTAAAGTTGTAGTTTTACCTTTTAGCGATTGATACCAATTATGAAGGGAAAATTTGAGAAGAAATAAATCAATTTAAAAAAAGAGATTGAAAAGATTTGGGATAATAATTGATATAAAGAGAAAATTTAGAAAATAAATATTTTAGTAAAATATAATATGAACATTTTGGACATTTTCAAACCTATTATGAGAGGATTTTAACAGAGGTGCAACTATATAAGAAGGTTCGGGGGAGGCAATTGCAATTACCAAATTCGTCAAATATTTAGAGGAGGTTTAAGCAATTTACCCTAGAAATAATTAGTTGTGTCCCCTTATGAAAATTGATATGTGCCCAAATAAATCCTATTTTTGTTGGTTATACATAAATTTGCTTGACTTTTGCGTCCAGTTTATACCAGCCTTTCTTCTCTCACCATTGAGTAATCTACCTCGATTGACTTATTTCGATTTGATGTATTATAAGTTACTTCCCGACATCAGTCTCTTCTCAATGGGCATTCTGGTGATCCAAACTTTCTTGACTAGAAGAGGTAAGGATTTGGGACTGTTCTTTTTTTATCAATGTTTAGATGGTTGATAAAGAGAATTAGATGACATTCGAAAGACATTTGTGTCTTTTTAAATGGCACTTGACAGCTGGTTAATGATAAGTACTAGATTGGCACGTTTTGAAAATTCAGATACTAAATCGTCGCATTTTGAAGTTTGAGGACCAAAGTGACATTAAACCCATGGTACTAATCTGAAATTTTCCCTAAAAATTATTAGTTGAAAGTCGTGCACGGGATTTGTTAATTGATCAAGAGGTGGCGGCTTGAATTAGTTAATCCGTAACAAGGTTCTTTTTGAGCTTAAGGTAAATTATTGATCACCCGGTATCTGTGGACCGTGGTTTATGGTTTTGCAGCCATATCCATGATAATGATAGCCCAGAGTTTGCATCTTGTGAACCCGTGGGTTTATGGGAAGTGTGAATCCATCGACTAGAAACGAGCACATCGGTAACTTAGAAAATCACTAATATTAACGGGAGTTTGCATGTTTGTTGAATGGGAAACAAAAGGACAAAACAACATTTCTTTGAGTGATTTGGGATTTTCGAACTCCCTCCCATTTTCTCCTCTCCTCCACCGAACCCTAACGTGGATGAAATCTAATTGCGGCGGCAAGAACCAAATAGGGCTGGTGAACTTGATTGCTTGACTAGAAAATTTATGTTTTCCACCGAACCCTAACGTGGATGAAATCTAATTGCGGCGGCAAGAACCAAATAGGGCTGGTGAACTTGATTGCTTGACTAGAAAATTTATGTTTTGATACATAAGCAAGTATCTTGGCATCCTCCTCTTGAGTCCAAAGACCCCTCCTCTTCACACTGGAATTA